AAGAAGGAGAAGGAGAAGGAAGAGGAGGAGACCGCGGTCTAAGCCAAAAGAAAAGCCAACTGCCACTGCCACTGATGATGATGATGGCAATGGCGATGGCCGCATTGTTGGCCAGCGGTAAAATATATGGCACACATGCTAGCGATGACCGCGTGAGCAGAGCTATAGACCGAACATGAAAGAAGGATATAGAATCAATAAAAATAAAAGCCATGTCCACCACATGTCAAGGAAAAGCCCGATGATTTTCCTCTTTGCACGGGTAGGCGAAGAGAATCCTGCTCTCACGCTGTCGTCTCTAGGACAAATGCATTGTTTGCCTTTTCACATTCGAGTGTGTGTGTGTTTGTGTGTGTGTGTATGTGTGTGTGTGACATGTTAACGACGGCGCTCAAATGACTTTTGTGCGGTTTAAAAACCAAACCCAAAGCCTGAACCCTAACCTCAGCAGGCGCCACCCTGAAACCACCCTGGAATCCCCCCAACAAGCCATCATCGCCGTCGTCGCCGTCGTCGACGTCGTCGTCGTCATTGCCATGGCCTCGCTCTGCCTCTGCCTTGTTCGTTGCAGCATTTTTCAATTTTATGGTTTCCAGATGAAGTGCGTTCGACCGTAAGTAAATGCCATAGCCCGTGCCGGTGCCCCTCCTCCTGCTCCTCCTTTTGCTATGCTGCCGCGTCAGCTGCAGCTGTCATTGTTTAGCTTTTTACCCTCTTTCGGGCCACAAAAAGTGGAACTCCCGCTCGCCAATCCTCCGCTCGTTTTTTTTTTTTTTTTTTTCGTGTGGCACGCATAAAGTTGCATTTCTTTTTTGTGGCTTTTTTGGGGCCTCTCTCCACTGCTGCCCCTGGTCTGCTTAGCCATTGGCCTGACCAATTTTTTTGATAACTTTTTGTTTGGACTGCTCTCTCTCTCCCTCGTTCTCTGGCCGAATGGTTATGAGTTATATATGGCACTAGGGGAGGCCCAGGTACAGGTGGGAAGTGGAGGCTAACTGAATAGCCAAAGCGGCTGTGAACATTTTGTTTTAATTAAGAGGTGAGGCAGCTGGAGAATCAGCGGGGAGTCAGAGGAAAAGAGAGAGGAAATTGGACAGTGGAGTGCGGGCTTCTCTGTTGTCTGCGCCATTCTTTTGTCATATTGTTTGAACGGGCGTTGATCTCCGGAACTAATTGAAGTCCCGTCACTTTTGGGCTTCCGGAACTGCTGGCACACTTTGGCCATACCAAAACCACAAAAAAACTGGTAGGAATGGTAGGTAAAATTCATGGATTCCCTAATAAATATAACGATTATATTCTACAACTATTTCCATCCGTTACGAGTACTTTTCTTTCGTTTTTTTTCGGGTGTGGCTCTCACCTGATGAGCACCACACCACCTGTCGCACCCTTTTGTGGTGCTCTGGTAATGTGCATTTTTAATGTTGCTAAAAGCAAATGCACATTGATATAAAATTTAATAGTTATTTCTATTTAAATATTATATTGTATCAGAGTGCAAAGGAGAAGGGAGCATGGAGCAAGTAAGGGAGAAGGATAACATTATTCTTAATATGAATAAATCAGAGTCAGAGTCAGACTCTCATAAAAATTTCTTGTTTTGGCCAAATGTAATAAGAGTCAAGCGAAATGACAATCCAGCAATCCCGCTTCAGTTGCAGCAACAAATCTGCAATCATGCATCAACGTTGACACTATTTGTTGTAGTGTTGTAGTGCCAGTGCCCCTTGCCCCTTGCCCCTAGCCCCTTGCCGCAGAGTGTTGTCAGAGAGCTTGGAGCAGAGTTCTTGGGGCGGGAAACAGAGCTGGATGATAGAGCTGTACTTCGCTTCACTTCACTTGAGGTATTCATTCCAGCGATTCATGTGCCTCACGGAAACACGGGCAAACGGCAAACTTTTTGAATCTAAACTTTGATATCACGTTGATATCTCTCATTGAGCCAAGAAGTTTGTTGTACATATAGTAGAGTATCTTCAGTATAAGCAATATATCGTAAATACTTATAGCATGTATCTGTACCAAAGAATCTTTCTGCACTACTTTTTGTCTGGCTGTAATTACTCGTAAAGGATCCAGGACGGGAGCATCTACCTACCGTATCCGCTTGTCCTTTGCCCCGTTAACACGTTGACATCTCACGGGGCTGTACGCTGTTGGCTGCTCCTCAGTTTGCGCTTCTTCTCTCCCTCGCTCTCTGGCTGTCAAGTTGCCTCCTGTTATTTGTTGCAATTTAAGTGACTTGGAATTGCAATTTATTGTTGCTCTTCGCACCCGCACCCTCACCCGCACTCTCGTCTAAAGGGGCAAATCAGGCGGCAGGCAGTACCCTGACGTTTTCCTTTTTGGGCTGTAAATAAAGAAGCGGAAAAACGACGGGAGGAGCTGGCTGGAGAGAGGGGGGAGGGAGAGTGAAGGGAAATTGTAGCTACGAAAGCAAAAGAAATATGAGAATTTAGTGTAATGTTGTTTTTATTGCGGAATTCATGTGCAGAATGCGTAGCAGGGCATTAAGGTCTCTACTCGTTGCATACACTTACACTTGCATACCCCACTCCCCACTCCCCCCTTGCCACGAGAACCGACGACATAGAATGACATCGGATCGGATCGCCTTTCAGGATGAGACAGGAATCCCTTCCCAGTATCCCCTAAGCGACAATCCAGGTAAAAGGAGTCTCATAGTAGAAAGAATATACTTTGAGTGCTTTAATCTTCCATTCTATTCTGTAAAGGCTATCAATAGTCGGCTAAACTTAGTATTACACGACCGTTTTATAGATACAGATACTTTGAGAAATGACTTCTTTTATTGACCAAGAAAACCGTTTGCTTCCCATTCGAATTTTGATTGTCCTGCGTTGGGGGAGGTCACTTTTTTGTGCTTCGGTTGCGATATTATAAATTTCTTTATATTTGTCAAGCCAATTGAAAAGTTTGGCGCAACTTTGTGTTGATTTAACACCCACATCCCATACACACACACCCAGACACACACACACTCAAACAGATATAGAACACAGGACGAACAACCATCTTCAGAGGGAAAGAAAGTCAGAAAGTGAGGCGGTTGGGCTGTCGCTCTATTATTGAGGCCGGACTCACCAAAGTCCACGGGGACAAAAAAAACTTTCTCTGGCGGGGACATAAATAAGGAATTGTATGGTAAATGGCCAACAAACAACCGAATGGCATCCAACCAACAAACCGACAAACCAACAAACCGACAAGGAAGGACATTGAAGGGACTGGGAAAACATCGTGGAAATAAAGCTGAACAAGTCGGAAGGGTGGGGGAGGAGGGGAATTATTTCGTAAAGAAGAAGTGAAACAATAAGCATCTGGGGAGTGGAAGGGGGGGACGGACTGGTGCCAAGTGACCACACAGTGATTTACGCTCATGAAATTGAGTTGTGGCGCAAATTATTTATGAACAAAGCAGAAGCACACCCAGGAATAATAAACCCGGAGAGGACTACACAGGGCTGACAGACAGACAGACAGACACAAAACGTGGAGGATTGTGATGTCGCCTGTACACTTGTGGACCCTTGGAACAATATGCAGTTTGTGGAATCGGTATCGAAGTCCAGACCCCAGGGAGGCTCTGCCCCTTCTGCGGACAGCTTAGTGCTTGAGGCTCGCCATCGCCATCGCCAGTAGCCAGGAGCCAGGAGCCAGGAGCCAACTTTTTCTCCAAAAAATAATTTATTAGCGGCAAACGAGGAAAAGTTTTATGAAAATTCAAAAAACACAAGAAAACACAGCAAATACAAAACCAAAAAAATACAAAAAATACAATAAGCAAACGAAACAAAGGAAAAACAAGTGGAAAGTACGAGTACGAGTAGAAGTAGCTTCCTTACGGACTCCCCCCCGCCAACCTGCACCTACACCCAGGACCCGCACGCCGCCTCTGGCCAGCATTTCATTGTCAGTCCGTGCTCCGTGCGCATTGTTTAATATTTTCCGACTCTGTCAAAAAGTTGTTGGGGCCAACTCGGAGTTCGAGTGAGAGCAGAATTTATTTACTATCATGTCCTCCAATGAACCGTGTCGCTTGGGGAATATCCACTGTATGATGGCATGCCTTTGCTGTGGCTTTCGGAATCAGAGAAACACATACCTCAAGTATCCTTCTGGCCTTGCCGGAGCAAAGAATGCTTTATATTGTAGAGGAGGAGTTCCTTCGGTAGTTTTCCTTCCTATCGGCAAAGAGTATTCAGTGCTCGCTATGGCCCTAGAGGCGCTCCTCAGGTTACGCTGGTTATTTATTGAATTTGGCACACAATTGCACAGAAGCTACCATCCCCCCAGCAGCATTCCCTTTCCCCCAACCACGCATTCAATTGCTGTGTAGAAAATTTATGAAATTTGTTTTCCGTGTGTTGCGGTGGGGAGAGGGAGGAGCGTGGCAAAGTTTTCGTACGAGTATACTATAGTATGTATACTTTTGCCTGGGGTCTGGGTATGGAAATGTAGGTGCCAATGACACTCGCATTACGCATTTCGCATTACGCATTACGCATACGCCCCATCTAGTCGTGCTTTGCTTTGTTCGAAACATTAAGTATACGCAGTAGGTGACGCGTTCGATAAGCATTTGCAATGCAGATGGTATAATGCGACGGCTCTGCTGTTCGTGTGCTGTGCTGTGTATTTTTAGAGACAAAACAATTTCCGTTGCTTAGCAAAGCTGCCACACCAGAGCCCCATCCTCTTCGGCATTGAATGCAAATGAGTAGAATATAGTGGAAATTTCTCATGATAATACACCATTAATGAGCGGCATTATTTGCTGCTTTCCCCAGTGTATACGTACGAGTGTGTGTACCTGCATTGTCTGCCAATTAATTGAGCGAACGCTTCAATGCGAGTAAATATATAATAAATAATTGGAATAATTAAAACCAGTTTTCAAATGCATTCCCCAGAAGCGGCCAGCGGCCAGCGGCAGGCGTCCAGTGCAATAGTTGCACCATAAAATGGCAAAACTATTCTCGAAACAACTATTTATTTGTATAGGATCTATGATCTAGGATATAGGATATAGCATCTGTCTACGATGTCTTATTTTTGGGCCGGATGAGCATGCGAACGTAGCTGAGGGAGCCTGTAGGCCCCGGCAAAAAGGTTTTCCACAGTATGCCCTTGAAGTAGCCAATCTCCTGGCCAAACTTTGGCTGGAAGGTGCCAAAGAGGTTGCTAGGAAAACGTTGGGATTAAATCGTAATCTGAATGGGAATTTTATCAAAGTACCTCTCGATGCACTCGCGACCATACCACCATGCGCCCGCATGGATCCTAGCGCAGTTCTGTGCATTGTCGTCGTTGTCCTGGTCGTAGGTGGTGAACTTCTTGCCCGCATGGTAGCGCAGGGAGTCGCCGGCATCGCCCTTGTAGGTCCCCAGAACGTTAAGCAGATACTTCTCGGCCTCGTTGCCAATGCTGAAGAGATCATAGATGGCGAAGCGCTCCTCACGCGTCTTGCTGCGCATTAGCACGAGCAGCTCGTGGCGATCGCTGTTGGTCAGCCGGTTCAGCTTGTCCAGCCCGATGAAAAACTCCGAGTTGAGGTACCCAAAGCCGGCCTTGTAGTTCTGCCAGTCGCGGTCAAATTTCTCGCTGCCATCAAACCTGTAGGCGATCACTAGCCAGCCCCCGTCGCGTACTTCCTGGTCACAGCTCACGAAGAAGGGCTCCAAATCTCTGGCCACCCGGATGAGCACTTGGCCGTGCTTCTGGCCCCAGCAATTCCGGGGCGTATCATCGCTGGGCACGGCTGGCAAGGCCTGGACAATGGATGGGACTGGATGGAGTCTGCGGCATTAGGGATCAGAAATTACAGATCAGTCGATCGTGCGGGGGATGACTTACGACCGGGTACCAATGGCCTCCCCCGGCGTCTGGATCCTGTATTCATCGATCAGCTGCTGTAGATTGCTTAGCTCCGTTTTGAGTGTCTGCAGCTCGTCCGTCATAAACTGGATGCTGAAAAGATTGACAGGCTCTGTCTTAACGAAGCGAAAACCCAACGATGACTCCATTGAGAAGTACTCACCGTGCTGCCAAGCCGCCCAAGGTGCTGACGGGACAGGCAGTGTCCTAACCAGAGGGAGCAAAATATTGTAGGAAATGTCAGGGAAGATCAGTAAAGAGTACCCTCCATACGTACATTCACATCGATTAGGAAAGGCTCCACCGAGTTCCGCATTATCACAGAGGATGGCGTAGCCTTCTCTGGCATCGTGGTGGTGCTGAGGCAGGCCAAAGCAGTGACGAGCACCTCCAGCGCCATGCTGATACTATGGCGATTCCACAATTCAACAACAAACTTGTGCTCGATCGCAGCATGAGCCAACGACAGCGACGCAGTTGCAGCCGCCCCAGCAGCGGCCAGCGGGCAGCAGGCAGTCGCTGCTGGTTGGTTGGAGATGCTCCATAAATCACAGGCAGTGATCTCTGGTGACTGATCACTGTGTGCCTCTTGAAGCAGTAGCTTGATACAAATGATAATCGTAGTAAAGTCAAGCTCCAGCTCGCGAGCACTGCTCAGCACTGATCGCCTCCGGTTAGCACTTGGCATACTCGTTTGCAATGTGGATGCACAGCTGCAGCACGAGAAATTCTAATTGCATGACCTTTGTGGCCAGTCGATCGGCTCGGTCGGTGTTTGGTGTAGTCAGTGGTCAGAGCTCAGTCAGTGAGACATGTCGCAGATGCTACAGCTAGACGCGTTGGTCATGGCCATGGCGTGCCTTACCACAACGCAAACGGATCTGGGCGGGGGACTGGGGATGGTGCCACCCATTCTGGATAATTCGGTGAGTCATAGAGGATTCTACATCGATCTATCTTTATCCTATCTGTATCTGCAGACTAGCTGTCCCATCTCTGCGCTTAGTGGCCTCACCACACGCCTGCAGGCCCTGACCAATGACATTGCGAGTGTCAAGGAGCAGATCGGCGGCCTCCAGGAGCAGCTGGTGGACCTGCGAAGGAGTGGCGGTCCCGCTGGCTATCCAGTGTCCCTGGGCTTGCCGAATGCCATCGGATCGCGACTGTAAGCTGTGCGGAGCGGAGGAAGCCCATCTGTAACAGTGACTGGTAGACCCATTCATAGACCTATCTCCTCCCTCTCTAGCCTGGATGTGGATGTGTCCCAGTTACTGGCAGCCCAAGGCGGCCCCGGGGCGGGGGGTGGTCCCACAACGCCGAGCAACTGCCTCAAGCAGCAGCACGGTGTGGTGCGGATACGAACCCGTGCGAATGTGGAGCCCTTCTTCGTGTTCTGCGACCAGAAGGTGCGTGGCGGCGGCTGGATCATGGTGGTCAACCGATACGACGGCAGCGAGGACTTCAATCGCAAGTGGGCCGACTACAAGATCGGGTTCGGGTCCCTCACCACCGAGTTCTTCATCGGGCTGGACAAGCTCCGCCAGATCACCAGCAGCGACAACTACGAGCTTCTCGTGCAGCTGCAGAACCGCAAGCAGGAGCTGCGCTATGCCCTATATGACCACTTTGGGATCGGCAGCGAGTCGGAACAGTACCACCTGAACGTCCTCGGGAAGTACCAGGGCGATGCCGCCGACGCTCTGCGCCAGCACGAGGGCAAGAAGTTTAGCACCCAGGACAGGGACAACGACGAAAGTGAGGCCAATTGTGCGGCCGCCCAGTCGGCGGCCTTCTGGTACGGCAGCTCCTGCAACCTAAGGTGGGGATCCCGTCCCTGAACAGACTATTCCTAGCTATTCCTTCAATGGCTTAAATTTTCTTTTTTCTCCTTCCTTAGCAATCCCTTTGGCTTGTATCAGCGACTGCTCGATCGGGACAAGGACGAGTACAAGGGTATTCTGTGGCGCGGCTTCCTCGATGGCCCCAAGGGCTCCCTGAAGATTGTACGCATGATGGTCCGCCCCCGCAGCGGAACGTCGTAGGGATCATCGTTATAAAAAATACCAGTGTATATTTTCACAATTTAACAAAGAGCCCAACAGAATACAAATACAGATAAGATACGACACAAATACAAACACAAAAACCAAACAGGTTCTAGATATATATAGTATATAGAAATATAGTAAAGGAAATTCGATTAGACTTCGTTGAGCTTATCCACCTCTGCGGTCGTCGTGCGTCTGGTTGTTGTTGTGGTTGTGGTGGTGGGATCCTCGTATCCCTTGACCACCAAAGCATCCCCAAAGATGGGCTTGAAGAAGAGCACAAAGCGGGAGTAGCGACGAGCAGAGCCCTAAAGGAATAAAAAGAAAACACAGATAAAAGCGCATTTACCGGAAGGTTTTTCTAAAAGCTACTCCATTTCGCTAAAAGTTCTGCTAAAGCTCTACTTGTTAAAGCCCTCTCATTGTCTCTCTCTCTCTCTCTCTATCGACAAAAGCTCTCATCCGTTGCATAGAACAAGCGCCACCTAAGAGAGTGGAAGATCACGATGCAAAAACGGAACGCATCGCTGTATGCGTGGCTGTGCGTGTGAGAGCGTTACAGTTAAGTTTTGGACATGGGCAATAGCAACAGAGTTATAACCATTTGTATAGGTGCTTAAGCGTTAAAGTACAATGACGAGCGTAGGAATAGGAAGAACGAGTGTCTTGAGAGTATTTTTGTTCTTACCATGATCAGGCGGGACAGCGACTTGGAGACATTGGTGATGGTCTGGAAGGACTTGTTGAAGAGCTCGTCGGGTAGCTCGAACGACACGTTGTCGCTGCTGATGTCCGTGGCATCGCTCAGGTCTTTGCCCCCGGCTCGTGCCTGCCTCCGCTTGCCCTGCGAGGTAGTGGGAAAGATAGAGATAGAAAGAGCGATGAGAAAGAGTCAGAAACAGAAACAGAGACAAACAGCCAGCGAGTCAAAGAGACAGACAGACAGACCCGAACCGAAACGAACCGAATCCCATGCCCAGCCCCAGCCCCAGCCCCAGCCCCCACCACGACCCAAGACAAGGCCATGGCCATGGAGACGGCAGCCGCCAGCCGCAGAACTGAAATCAAAATTTCGAGTACGGTTTTTCTGTTTTATGTTTTTCGTGTGTGTTTTTTGTCGTTTATTTTCGATCGCCATAGAGTCATAGAGTCATAGAGTGGGTGGATTGATATAGTATTTATATATATGCCGAATGTATGTACAAACATGAAACAATGCTTAACGTGGATCTTAACTAAGGTGTGAAGAAACAAAAACAGGGGGGAAATTCAACAAGATTTTGCTCCGCATCCGCACCGCAAGAGTGATGGAATCTAAGGATTGGTCGAGGATAACGATAAATTACAAGGTTCAACCAAGGTTTAGCTCTCATTGCGCTCTGCCTGGCTTCTAGGTCCTGGCTCCTGTTTAGTAGCCCGCCTCGTCGGAGTCCGGGGCTGGTGTCGTCACCCCACCTATGCCGTTGACGCCGCCCGAGGAGCCCTGCAGGATGGGACCGGAGAAGCTCAAGAACTTCGAGACAACGTTGCCCAGGCCGGCGTTCGCATTTCCATTGCCGGACGAGGAGCCACTGAAGGCGGTGATGGTCGTCAGGACACCGGTGGTGAGGTCATTGGCAATGTTGCCCAACGAACGGATCTTCGGCGAGACGACGGCTGTGATAAGGGTCTGGAAGTCCTTGATGGGCACCGGCGACTTGATGTCCCACTGCTTGTTCTTCTCGATGTTTGCGCGATCCAGCTGCTCGATCACGCGGGTCTTCGTGTCCAGGAAGTTGTCGATTTTCTAAAGAAAGCACAGAAAAACACATTGTCATATCCATCATCCTTGGAGCAGAGTATGCCTCTTCGGTTATATAGTACTTACACCAAACACGAAGCCGAGCACCGCATTCTTGGCCTCGAATGTCGCATCGGGTAGTTTTCTTTTGTTGCGCTCTTGGCCATCGCCTAACACCTCCTGAAAAAGGAATCGAAGAATCGGAGAGCTGAGATTGGCAGGGGGCTTCGCTTCACACAGTCAGATTCAGATTCAGATTCAGATCTAGACCATGAACTCTCAAGCCATCTGTATCTAGATTTTCTTGCTTGACTAATTGCTATGCATATATTTTGTGATTCTTTGCCACAAACTGACTGTTTAATTGCTGGCCGAGAAGACAACAAATATGCAAGAAACCAGCCGAAGAAACAGAAAAAACACTCGATAATCTCCGACACTTAAGGCCGGTTCGACTTGACCCAATTCGAGGCTGGCCCAAGAAAAACACACACATTCATCCACTCAAACATTCATACATTCATTACGAGCACTGTTGCTGGGGGGGAGGGGGGCTTTGGAGTCGACTCGAGCACGGACTTCGGTCATTCTAAGCCGTGATATCTTGTACTTTCGGCCCGCTTCTCGGTCGATCCGCACTTAGCATTCAGCCCGTCATCTGGCTGGCCCAAAACATGCGATATGTATGCATCTCGAAATCGAAATCGAAACCCAAACCGAAATCGACTCATTTCTAAACAAAACGCATAATCCACAGCCTCAGGCCCACCGCTCGGCGCCAAAACAAAACGAAACTAAACCAAACTATTCCGATCCCACCCGATCCGATCGGACTCGATCCGAGCTATGCTTTAAGTGCAATCGGATGTGACTCGGCGAATACATTTACACTCCGTAGTTGCAGCTATACGACCTCTGCGCTTAATTTTGTTTGGTTTTGTGACGTCACTTGCCCTTCTCCTACTCCCGCCCGCCCTCAGCCACGCCCTCAGCCTCGCCCTCGCACTCGCACTCGCCTCTAACGAAGTTATGCAATTATTGGGCAAGTGATTTGAATTTCAATTCGCGATTCGGGAAAGCCACTCAGCTGACTCAGAGACCTTTGATGAAAAGGGGACCTTAACGTATGGGAGGGAAGTTGTAACCCAGAGTTTACGGAAGTGCTTGGAACAACAGAATTGCACATGATCTACGAGTATGTACTTTTAATAATGATATTAACGAAGTAGTTCTTCAAGCCATGGCTTGGTAGGTTGCCCTTTGATCCCACTTCTTTTGTCATTTGTTGAGGGCCGTGCAATTTGTGCAATTCATTTTTGTAATTTAGCAAAATCTTTGCTCCATTGTTCTGCCATTCTCCCACTTGAGATTGCCCAATGCGGTCCAGGGCCCACATGCTGTTTGTGGCTGCCTATAACATTTGCCAGGCCTGGCAATTTATTAGTTTAAACGCTCAACACATTACGCTGCCTGCTGCCTGCTGCCTGTTACCCCTTTTCATTGTTTTTGGTTATTAGTTTTTGTAGTTTTTGTTTTGGGTGGTTTCTGAAGTGACAAACAGTTTTCAAAGCATTTTGTTGTGTGTGGTCGCAACGAAAAAAAAAAAAACAAAAAACGTGAGCTATGATTTATATACAACCACAAATCAGGTCAGTCGTTGAAATCGCTACAGGGACTTGAACAAAGGTACAACGGGTAGATGGGAAGGGGAGGGGACAATTAATGGCCACAGAATGGACAGGATCCATGAACTGAAAGTTAAACCTAAGCCATATTCAGAGATCTAACTGAATGCAGACTCGTACTCGTATCTTTCAAGCGTTGTGCATTCCTCATTTATAGGTACATCCGTAGAATCTGCCCGAATTTCATTTAATTGAATTTCAGAAGATTTCGGGTGATCCGATTCGACTGTTTCATACTGTGGCTGGCAACCCTGGAACGTTTTCTTCTACTCTTAATGCATTTGGCAAATTTTGGGGACTTCAATTAAATTTTCACATGTTGTTAAATCAATAAGCACGAAAAAGTGAATATATATATTAACAAACTATTAAATCGAGTAAATGTTTCACAACACTCGAATCAGCAGAGAAAGAGAAAAGAGGAAGAGAGAGACAGAGAGAGAGAGGCAGCAAAGAGCGGAGGAGGGAGACAAGTGATGAGCTATGGATGAGGTCTTTCTCTTTCTGTTTCTGCTTCACTCTGAGGCGTTGGCTTTGGTTAGGTTTTTGGGTTTTTGGTCGGTTTTTTTTGTTGGGAATGGTTTTGAAATGTTAACGTAGGTCGTTAACAAGTTTCGTCGCGCTCAAGGTCGTCATGTCTTTTATATATTCGGCAGCGAATTTCGTATTCATATTCGAATACGAATTCGAATCGATTTCTTGTGCGATATTCGATTAACATATTCGCAATGGACATGGGATGGGGGAGGGGGGCTATGCCAGAAGTCGGTTCAATGCACCAGGCCGCAAAATTAGCAGCGGCTTACACAACAATAGCAACAGCAACAGCAACAGCAGCAGCAGCAACAGCGAAATGTGCAACAAGCCGCAGAGAGCCGCAGGCAAAATTCGCTTTCACGCCCCAGCTGCCCCCAAGGAGACGAGGCAATCAAGTTTCCCCTCACACTGTACCCCTCTCAGTTGTCTGTCTGTTGTCTCTTTCTGGCCCGACTTCCTTGTTGGGCTTACAGATGGGTTGACTGGGAGGTTGGGCGGATGGGTCGGATGGGTCGGATGGGTGGATAGGGGGCTTTACCTCTGCATTGATTGGATTAAGGTCCGGGTCGCTGTCGCTGCTGTCCTGCAGCGTGGACTCCACTTCGGCGTTGAGCTGCTGAGGCGATGGAGCCGATAGCGATAGCGTTAGCGATAACGATAGTACGGCCAGCATCAACATCGTTTTGCACTTTGTGTACTGCATCTTTGTGGGCGAAGGAACGGGACTTCTGTTCTGTTGTGAATTCTGCAATTAACCAAAGGAAAAACTATGAGTCGCCTGGCACATAATTCGATTCGATCTATTTGTATTTATTTCTGGGGAAACTTGAAATATTTCACCCATTTTGCGGGCTACACACCAAAAAACAACACACAAACTTTAAGCTCTCGAAGGCAAGAGAATAAACAAAAAGCCAATAAAAAAACGTGATGAAAATTGATCAAAGTTTGGAACGGACTGGGTTTTTCTTTTTCTCTTTGTTTTTTTTCTTTGATTCGATTGCTGGAAGCCGCGCCGCCAGATACGCGATACTAGCACGTTCACTAACTTTAAGCAAATGACTGCAGACGAAAGTTACTTCAATGATTTAGCAGTGGCCAAAAAATCGGTTACACAGACCACAGCGCAAGCGCAGCCCCGAACGCGTCGGAGCTTTTTTTACCGCAGCTGCCTGATGCCTGGCGCTGCGATTGCTATTGCTGCTTCTGGTGCTGCTGCTGCTGCTGCTGCTGCGGCTGCTGCTTCTGCTGCTGATACTGCCGGCGTCGGTGTCGGCGTCCACTGCAGACCCGAAAAAACCAGCAACAAAACCCACGACGAAATCCATCCAAATTGAATTTTATTGCGGCGCTAACGCCAGCGTCGAAGCCCGACGTCCGACGTCCGACATCCGACTCAAGCGTCTCTGCCCAACTCGTTTTTGAGCGAAAACTTACACACACACACACACACGCACACACGAAAAGCGCTCAATAAAGTGCAAAACGCAGAGATGTCTGCCAGAGATGTTAAGTCACTCTCTGTCTGGGCTGTGCTTTGCTTGGAGGGTGTTTGTTGGTGGTTTTTCTGCAATGCGCTTTTAATTTGTACTTTTTGGCTTTCAATTAAAGCACAGCGACACACACAAACAGCCTCTGAGGGGCACTCAGGTTATACGGTTATTCGCTGTTATACGGTGCGTATGCGCAATGGAATTGTGTTTAATGCATTCTCAAGCACTCTCCGGATTGGATTGTCATCACCATCACCATCACCGAATGGCCAAAGGCGCTTACATAAGGGTGTTGGTATTTTTCCATTTGGACAGGTTTTGGACAATTAAATGGAAATTTAAATGGAAAGTATATATCCCATTATCATCTTCTATAAGCCATTTGATGTGTGGGCTGTGTTGGTAATATTTCTACCATACTTTAGGGCGCTTAAAAACAAGAAATATCCCAATATTCGGAAATAACTTTTGACAAACATTTCTAGCACACACTGTGCGGTTCATTATAAAGAAATGACGTCGGGTTATAGGGCTTATAGAAAATCTGCATAAGATGGTATGAGTCTTTCAGTTCTTTCCACTCAAATACAAAATACGTAGCAAATTTGAGGTGCTGTTCCCATTTCGAGGTACATTTTCAATGGTATAGTGCATAAATGTAGTTCTACTCTTATGAGCGAAATAAGTATTGTTTACAATCTTGCAACTTCTCCAATTTATTGCTCAATGTAGATGTTGAGGTCCCCACTGAAGATCCTTGACCGTAGAATTGACTAAATTAGCGAAATTTATGCGTATCCAACCTCTAAGCACAGCCTCGACAACGTGCTAACTATGTAAAATGGCATTTTAATGGGCTTTTTTGTAACGATTTATTATAAATAATACATATTTATGGACCAACTGGAGGCTAGAAATTCTCGTAAAAAACAGAACAAAAAACTAAGCCAAGATCGAAAAAGAGTATACGAACACAAAGTAGAGAAAAGTTAATCAAGTCGTTCGCCTTCAGACGCCAGAGCCCCGCCAGAGCCCCGCCAGAGACGCCAGGACCGACCGATAAATTGGAGTCAAAGTGCGCGCGTATTGAATTCAGACTCGAAGCTCGAAACTTAATAACTGGAATTGCATAGAGTCCAATCCGATACGATACAATCTGATACGATCCGATACGATACGATCCGATCCAATCCGTTTCGATGTGGCCCGCTTATGCATGCATGTACATATAATTAGTCAATTCGATTGTGGGTCCCCCGTATGCTGTATGCTGTATGCTGCATGCTGCATGCTGCCGCGAGCTCAATTCTGAACAATTAACTAAATAAATCGCAGCCAATTCCAATTCCAATTCCGATCCAATCTGTTGTTGATTAAGTCAATTTTGAGACTTAAATTGGATTAAATGAGATCATCTCAAGTGATTCTGAGAAGGTATTTATGCAACAAAATTTGAATGTTACTTATTGATGTCTACCAGCAGAATCGATAAAAATCCTTGATGTAGAATCAATCCCCTATAAATGCCAACAAGGATATGCTGTTTGCGATTGCGAGAGGATCAGTCACTCACTTAATTACTAGTATGATATCATATCATATATGTATGTAGCTGTCACGATCTGTTCCCGTTCACAGATCGCATCGCACCCTGACACTAGGGCGAAAACCTTTCTAATTAGCCCGGGGACAGCCGGCACTTAACCCGTTTTACCCTGAATACCCACTGAATGAATATACATATGGGTATGGGTATGGGTATTGGTATGGGTATGGGTCTTGGGGTCTGCAGAAATCAGGTGAACAGCTTTATGGAGTGGAGGCAACAATTTGCTTATCAATGTGCGAGCAGCGAGCTCAATCAACGCCTGGGCTCAAGGTCGGGTCGGGTCTGGGTCTGGGAGCGAAACATAATCCTTAATTGACATTAAGAGGTGCTGCCGCACCTTGCCCCCCCCTCGCAGCCGGGCCCAGTCAAGGCACGGGGACTGGTTGCCGTTGCTGTTGCTGTTTTATGCAACATTTTATGCCCAGACGATGACAACAAAAGTGAAGACAAGATAAAGCAAAATTAATGCGCGCATCCGTTCAAAATGACAAAAATAAAAAATGTACAAATTTCAGCAAGCTCGCAAAAAAACAATCACCACAAAACCGCAAAAAACTAAAAAAAAACTTTAAAAAATTAATAAAAAGCGAAAAAGCAAAACCCAAGACCCAAAACCCAATACCAAAACCCAAAATGCAAAGTGCAGGCAGCACGCACAACTGTCATCGTTTTTTGTAGGTCACAAGGTCGAACCAGTTGACAGAGCGAGTGGCAACCGAGTGGCAGAAGAAGATCTGTCTGGTCTGATCTGGTCTTTCGGAGGTCTTCGCTCCATCTCCGGGCTCGGGCAGGTGCAGGTGTATGTGTATTTCCGAGAGGAGATCTTGCAGAACCAGTGCGCTGCGGGCTCCCCCTATGCCCATGCCCAAGTGCCTCTTACTTTTGCCCTGCTTCAACCTTTGGCAAACCTTTAACTTTCAATCTTGTGGCTGCTGATGACGATCTCGTTTCATCGGTACAGAGTACAAATGAGATGCATTCCCCGAGGGGGAATCTCTGCAGGATAGCCTTCAGCTATTTGCGGGGATGCCTTTAAAGGTATCCTGCAACGGATGGCCTTCAATAAATGAACAAACAAACACATTGAAAATAACACCATACCTAAAGTCCCACAATGGACCTGTAGTTAGGATTCTTCTAACCAAATAAATTGTACTTAGCTCTTTACCGATTCCTAACCCTTAGGTATTCGTGAGAGGTATCAATGAGATCAATGTTTTTCCACCTCTCGACTAAGTTCAGAGAAAACTAACCTTTGGCTATGGCATATCAAAGAGAAATCTTATCTCCATTTAGCATCATTTAGCAACCCCATTCAATGTCTGAACCATGGCCTCTATAGAGAATCCCCGCTGCAGGCCGTGTACTCGTGGGGACTCGTGGACTAGTTCCATTCAATTAGTTGGTGGCCGTCCGTTGCTGTTGTTTTTTTCCTAATTTGTCCGTACAATTAACGAATTATCCATGGAAATTCAATTATAGCTTGTTGTTGTCTTTGGATATTGTGTTATTTCTGTGTGGCTGATGCTGGCACTGTGGCGCCTCAATTAGAACGCCATAATTGCTGGCCAATCTGTCTGTCAGTCAGTCAGTCCGACAGTCTCCTGTCTGCTGTCACCCAGAGAGCGTGGCTCATAAAATTTATGACAGACTGTTGTTGTTTTTGTTGCTGTTGTTGCTTTATACGAACTAATCTCTAGCCGCAAGTACGAGTGCTACATGCTATGCTATGTGAAACCATTTTGACTTGGCCAAGACCCCAAACGCAAAGCGTTACATACTGCTGGACTGGTGGACTGGTGGACTGGTGGCTCATAAAGCTGACATTATTGCACTGGCCGATAAGGTACCCCACTCGAAGATGTAGATGGAGTCGTCCTTGCCCACCTGGCGCCGGCGCCGACCCCAGCGGCGACCCCCAGAGCCGACCCCAGTTGAACCGACTTGCTTTGTAGCCCAGATCTTCATCGCATTTTTCGGTTCGAGTTTCAGTTTCAGTTTCAGTTTCGGTGTAAAATGCCAAATGGCCAACATTTTGCTAAGGAAGGGGCAAGGGAGCTGTTGCTGTTGCTGTTGCAAACAAGTTGTGGGGCAGACGCATTAAATTTGTACTAACCAGTGGCACATGTACTAACTTGTTCTCCAGCTGAATTTTAGATGTTGAGTGCTGAGTGCTGAATGCTGGCACTGGTTCGGGGCTGGCTGGCATAATGTGGTGTGATTGCCCAATGCCCAATGTGCCTGCCTGCCTGCCTGCCTGCCTGCCTGCTGCCTGGTGACATTGTGCAACAATTGTTGTCATTATGCATGCCTTTTTTTGTCAGAGTGGCCTGGCCTGGGCTGAGGCATTAATGTCACATGTTCCATGGTTCTTGCCTCGATGACTGGGCCCCCGACCCGTACGAAGTGCACGCAGAAAAAACAGGTCCAGCCCAAGCCCAAGCCTAAGCCCAACGTAACTCTCTGTCACTTAATAGTTACAAGCTACCATCCATATATCCATATCCATAACCATATCCATAACCATATCCATAGCCACATCCATCCAATGGGGGGCTATTAGCATGCTGAGGCACGGACTTTTTTTCAAGCCCCCGAACGAGGCTCGTTAACGGAGGAGAAGGAAGACGAGTATGAGGAAGATGTTCGATTTGAGTCCCACATAAACCACTACTCGTATTGCCGCTGGGCTGGCTTTTAAGCGGGTCTCTAATGAACTGTTGATGGCGGCTTTGCGCAAGCCGTTTACCATCAACGTTTGTAGTAGCGGTGGAACTAGTTCTTTGGCATTCCATTTTGGGTGGAAAACCTCAAGATAGCTTTAGAAACGAAGGGCTCGTTGATTAAAAAAGAATAATAATTCCATTGCCGTTAACATTGAACGACCAAAATGGAATGGCAAAAAATAATTTCCTTTCTGGCAAATCCTTCAGATCAAGTGGATCAACGTTTTGCTCCCAATCTCTGAGGCGAATTTAATTGGAAAAGGCGTTGACCATTCACCGCCAGACAGGCAGCAGGCAACATCGATCTTTGTTCTTGGATCGACTCTCGAGTCGAGAGTCGGCCAAAAGTCGGTTCGCAAAGGTTAATGCTGGCTCGAGGTGGAGTCGATTCTGGCGGAAAATTCGTCGTGCTGTTTATTAGCCATGTTTAGTAGTCATGTAATCATGCATGTGGCGTTTTGTTTGCTCAGTGATCACAATAATTATAGACGCTCGTTGGCATTAATACTTGTAAGTCTTGCTACTGGACACCCCATCTTGGACTCCTCGATAAGCCGTCGAAGGTCGAAGCTGGAGAGCAGCCTCTGTAATAATATCATTTTTCTTAAAATGCTTAAATACTCGGCAGCTTTTCGAAAGGCATTTCAAATTTGATCATTTTGTTTAATTGCCCATTCGAAGTCCGTGCAGAGAGAACTTGGCCAATGGCCAATGGCTTATAGCTTATGGCTTATGGCCAATGGCTAATGGCCGTTGCCGTGTGGCGCGGCGCTGTTTAATGAGCCACAAAGTTGGAAATCACTTAGGCATTTGTGCATTTGAGCGGCTACCCTTTGGTAAACAGCTTCAGTCTTCAGTCTTTTGGGTTCTTAAAGGAACACGATCCGAATAATTTCTATTGAATGGAAAGGGCAGCCACCCGTGCAAAGCGCCCTTTGATCCATGACCCATGAAGCTCTCTACACTGCCCCCACCCCACCGCATCATATGGTTCGCCATAAAAAAAATGATGTGTGAAAATGCTCCTAATACAAGATGTTCAATACGGATACGATACCGGGGCACTCAAAACGTAGGCACAGAAGAGCACGTTCGGAATCGTACAGAGATTTCGAAAATTTACATAATAAACAGGGCGATAAATATTTCATTTTTGGGTGTATGGAGAGAGACCCAGTGATGGGCATTGGTTTATTGCCAATTTGATAAGTTTTTGTTGTTGTGGGGGCAATCCTCTTGCACAATCCTCTCCCCTCCCGCGAGAAATAAGAGCATTCGTTTCGAAAATGGATGCACGAAATGCTCTGGTGTCTGGTCAATAAACTTATTGACCGACTTAGATATGACACCTGTACATAACTCGCGATATATGTATCTGTATATGTATATGTATATTTATATGGATCTGTGTGTGTGTGTATGATGTGGTAAATGGTTTCATATAGAGACGCCCCCTCGCTGGTTTGCCTTCGAAGCGTCCAGCCAGTGTCTGTGCTCCACTTTCATGGCATTTACTTTCGCTTTTTTTCCGTTTCTCTATTTTCTGCTGCTCTTTCGGCTCTTTCGGCTCTTGGCCCCAGCGAACACTCATCGCCATCGATGGGCACAAAGCCCGGCTTTGTTGAGGCCCAAAGCGCGTTGACGGCTGCGGCTGCGACTGCGGCTCCGACTGCGACTGCCGTTGGGCTAAGTCAGGGCTTATCTCGCCCCAGCCATCGACAACGCCATCGCCATCGACTCTGTATATCAACGACCTTGAGACCGTTACCGGTTTCTTTGGGCCAGGCCAATACAGCCCATAGCTGAATGCGTGGATTCCACTCTTGCATGACGCTGTCCGTCCGTGTGTCTCTGGTTTTGGATATTGCTCGATCAGCTCTGACTTTCAGCCATCTTCAGTCATGTTCCCCCCCCAACAAATTCTTTGTGTAAATTAAACACAAAAAGCTACCGATTCAACGAACTTTACACTCCTTTCGAGTATTCGAAGTGACTAAACTCGAAATGTATTCATTCTTCAATGTTTTATAGAGTAGTACCTACAAATATTGTTTAAGAAGTTCTCTCCAGTAGCCTATCAATCATGGCTATAAACAAAATTCATGAGCCACATATAACCAAATAAAATATTTCCTTGATTTATGTGGAAATTCACGGTACGAATAGGTTTGGCGGCTCGGACGGTGGGGGGTTGCCAAATTTCAGTAGCCAAAGCGATTAATAGGAGGCCGCTAATCAGTGGGGCTCCCCCGCCCACCTCTTCCCCTCTGGCTGTGGCTTGGCACAGCGCTTTCAGGCCCGGGCCTGACCTATGGCCAACGATATGGAGATGGCTGAGGCTTAGCTCAGTTAGCAAGTTCGTTGCCTAAGTCTTTTGTTTGGCACACATTACGAGCCGGGATTTTCCTCTCTGCCTGCACTCCTGCCCAGCAGGCATATACACACATCACACAAGAGTAAATATATACCACATATAATCGTATGTACCACTTACCAGAGAGAGACAAAATAGAAGAAGTAGCACTGGCTGGATGGCTGGTGGGCTGGCAGAAGACTTAATTGCAATTTGGGCACCCAAAAAACATATAGTATATAATTGAGTTCATTAACAATTTCAAAACACAGCACACAACCGACCAAAAAACAATAAACAAATACTTAAAAATGTTTTCAAATTAAAAAACGCGACAACTAAACGGCCCGCAAAATGTCACTTGGTCTTGTGAAAGATTCACGCATAACTGAAAGCCGCCTCGGAGTCGAGTACTGGGAGACCACTTGGCCAGGCCAACAAAGTAGGCAGGCAGACACTGACCAAGAGAGAGAGAGATAGAGAGACTGGGAGAGAGACCGAGCAGAAGAAAGAGGAAAAGGAAAGCAAACGTCAAGTAAAAAGCGATTTAATAAAACGTGCAATCAGTAGAAAGTGACACAAGGCCGCCGCTTCACCGCCCCAAGTAGTTGTTGCTTCATTGAGCAATAAAGAGCGAAAGAGAGGAAGTGAAGAGAGCCAGAGAGAGAGAAAAATACGAGGGGAACTAAATCCAAGAAGGCAGCACAATTGGAAAACGGAAATCTGACAACAAACAGCTCTGTATTGGCGATACCATTATTCTTTGCCAAATCATAAAATATAGGTGCGAACTATACCACAAAGATGAAGAGTAATCCCCATTCCATTGAATCGTTCGATTACAATCACGCTCCCAACCATCTATACCGTATCATACGGACAGTCTACTTGGATCTATGGCCAGCTTTTGGGTTGGTCTGCCCTGCCCTGAACTTTGACGCTGCCAAATGAACTTTGGCAAGTGCGTACAAAGTTCAGAGACAAGGCAAATGGCAAACGTTAACCCTGTGCCAAGCCCATCTACCCAACTGTCTGATCATGTACTTCCGCCGGTTTTTCGAGTGCCTTTTGTCTATCGCTTTCCACTGAGTGCGTTCCGAGGGTCCTTCCCCGAAGATGAAACGGGGTGGGGGCGGTCTTTGCGGTGCTTTCCATTGGACTGGCCTGGACTGGAGTGAGTCTGTTGCATCACACGCTGCCCAGCAAGCCAGCGGGCCAGCAGGCGGTTACGGCATTTGATTTAATGCCTGTTTTACGCTTTCTTAGCTGCCCAAGTGACCGACAAGTCGTACGGTCTGTCCCAACACAACACTCTGTTTCTTTCTTTTTTCGGCCAACGAAATCTCTTTATTTTAAAACTAACAAAAAAAAATTACGGTTATAACAATTACTCATTAAAATACGTATACAATACGGTTACAAAAACCTAGCTAGAATGGCTCGTCGTAGGCGTAGGCCCAGGATCGTTCGCTGGCCGACGGCTTCCAGTGGTGGCCTCCTCCTCCGCCAGCTCCACCACCGCTGCTGCTGCTGTGGCTGCTGCTGCTCGAGAAGATGCCCTTGGAAGCCGTCGAGGCCCCACCCGAGGCACCCAGGGCGGCGTTAAGCAGCAGGCCCAGGGCACTGCTCACCAGGTGGGAGGCCACTTGCTTGACAAAGCCCCCCGAATCGAAGCCTCCCGCGGCACCCTCCTTCTTTTTCCGGGGCCTTGGCAGTTCCGCGCTGTCGTGGCGTTCTTCAGAAGCCTCGGCGGGACGAAACTTTGCCTCCAGGAAGCTGGAGAGCAGGCTCTTGGCGAAGGTCAGAGGCTGCGGTGGTCCTTCTTCCTCTGGGTCCTATGTGGAAAGACAAAGACAAAGGGTATCAGAAACCAACCATTCAACCATTCAATGCTACAGTTTGGCAGTTAGTAGAACAGTTATGGGTGTGGGCGTAGGTGTGGGTGTGGGTGTGGGTGTGGGTGTGGGTCTGGGTGTAGGAGTGAGATAAATACTGCGCTTAGTGAGGCCACCACAGTGCCCAGGAAGTTGCCCAGAAATTGTCCATTGTTGACCTGCAAATTATGTTGCGAGAAACGATGATGAGATGGAATACATTTGAAGTAGAGCCCTGTTGATCTTACCGCTCCACCTCCGCCAGAGAGACCGTCGAAGGCGGTGCCCACGTATTGTCCCAGAACAGTGCCGAAATTCTTGTTGCCGGACAGCAGACCCGACAGCAGCGAGGTGGAGCTGCTGATCAGAGTCTCAATGTCCAGGCCACCAGGCTGGAGACAACAGTAAGAATTTAGAGGCATTCAGCGGGGGCCATCTAACAAGGATGTGGACTCACCCCAAATAAAGTGGAAACGACGCCAGTGAGAGCTCCAATCAAGGCGCCCACGTCCGAGCCGCCTTCTCCCTAGAGAAATCGATTTAGATGTGAGTCTCTTGATGGAAGATGGAGGGTGGAGGTTGACTGCTACTCACGCCGCTTAGACTCCCAATAATTCCGACCAGACCTCCGCCGCCGCCGGCGCCGCCACCACCTGCTCCACCTTCTCCAATGTCTCCAAGGTCATCATCATCATCGCCATCACCATCTCCTCCCTCTTTCATCAGCTCGGTGGAGCCAGGGTCCACCTCCTGTTTGGCCTTCGGATTGGGCTTTGGTTTTGGTTTGGGTTTGGATTTTGCTTTTGGCCTGGTTCTCCCCTTGGCTGTAACATTTCGGGACTTCAAGAGCCCGTTAGTTGTGTTAAGACTAGACCATGTCGGCAATGGGGTAAGTGGGTGGGGGGAAGGTGAGGTTCTTGTGGGCCACTGGGTTAGTCACACGGATCGTCTGGCTCTCTACTTACTTTCAAATCAAGCTCCTCCACGTCTTCTTGCAGATCGTCCAGCTCCGAGTTGGTGGTCTCCTGATCCTGGTCCTGCTCCTCCAGTTCCTTTTCCTGCTGCCTGATGCGTCTCTCTGGCTGCTGTTCCACCAGATTCTCCCGGAAGTCATCCTGGAAGCGCAAATGATTGGCCTTGGGTTGAAAGTAGACTACAATCCCCAGCCGCAATTTGGGGGAGGGTGGACCTACCTCTGTCAGAATGGACTTGATGATGCGCATTTCTCTGGGATATGGTGGCTCCTCCTCATCGTCATCGCCATCGTCATCGTGGACAGCAGCTCGCTTGTGGATGACCTTCTGCCTGTGGATGGCCTTGGCCAGCACCCCGTCATCGGAGGCCTGCTCTAGAAGATGCCTCAGCGCCTTCTCGATCTTCGCATCCAGCTCGACCTTCATTTGGGGCACCTGCTTGAGGATCTGCCTGCGCAGCTGGCCCAGCCGCTCCCCCAGCTCCGGCTGCTGGGTGATGTCCGCCGAGAGCTCCTGCTGCAGCAGCTCCTCCTCCATTTGCTGGGCGGCAAGCTCGCGCAGCTCCAGGCGGAACTCGTGATCGTCCTTGGTGTTGGAGAGCACATCCAAGGCACTGCTCAGGATGTCCAGGGCCCGCTGGTCCCTCGTCAGCTGCTGCTCGATGGCATCGATCTTGGGCAGCACCCGGTCGCTCTGCTGCATGTCCGTCTGCAGCAGCAGCTCCTTGATGGCCACCACCAGCTGCTCCTCCATTAGCTGCTCAGCCTGGCGAGCTCCGTTCAGCAGGCCAATGCCCGTGAGGGCCCTCAGCTCCTCCCGCGGCAGAGTCCGCTCCAGGCGACGGTAGGCGGCCACGGCGCGCAGGTAGTGGGACTGCAGTTGCATCCCTCGGCTCGGCCGGCTGCTGGAAGGGGCCGGGACGATCAGGAAGAGCAGGAGCAGCACTCGAAGGTTGTCCATAGGTCGCGGCGGCTCAACGAAAACTGCGACCAGGAGACGAACGCACTTTTTATTATAACATCGAATGGGCCACCACTGATCGATACCATTGTTTCCGCTCAGTTAGCTGTGGGCGTGGCAGATGGTGCACCTCTTCCTCCTCCACCTCCTCCGCCTCCTCCGCCTCCTCCGCCTCCTGGGATTGTTGCGCAATCGTTTGTGGAGCTGATCAGCCGTCCATGTCCATGGGTCTGTTTTTTGTCATATGCTAATTTGCTTCGATCCCAAGTTGTGGGCGGCTCCATCCAATCAGTTCTGCTTTGCAGATGCAACAAAAATGATCGATTGCAATCGATGGGTAACAATTCTAGGGCATGTTACATACATATATGTACATATGTATATGTATGTCGGATCCCAAAATCATTCACAATGTATTTTGGTCTGTATTTGGTACTGTAAAAGAGTTCGCAGCGCTATCTTCCGTTGCCTTCTTTACGGCTTACCGTTTGTTATTGTCCACCGCCTGTCCCATTGCTGTAGGTGTTGGTGAGGGCGTGCGTAGGGCGAGACGACTCGCTCAGAGAGGATCAAAAGGGATAAGAAAAAGAGAGCGCGTGTTGGGCGGGCAATGTGTGTGGGCTAGAAGGAGAAAGAGGGACATGGTAATTGCGTCGTAGACAATGACTGTCTTTGGGTGATGGCTATTGGAGTCTGGCCCCACAGTTGCCTGTTTGACGTGTACCTGGCGTGTACTTTTACCTACCTGTACACCTACATTTCAGTTTCACTGAGAGCACTTCACTGCGAACTCCTCGAGCACAAACAGAAAATCAAGAACACAGAACAAGGAACCATTAGTGCCGTCCGTCCATTAGCCGGATAATAGGCACAGATCAAGCCCATTTGCCAGCCCAATTTCCTAATGGGGCCATTTCCCTCTGGGCCCCAAAGGTGAATTTAAATTAAAGTCTTATATAAAAAGAGTGAAGAGAAGTTTCCTTCTCGATTTTGGGGAAGCACCAGTGACAGCACCAGCACCAGTACAGGTGTCGCAGCTATGCGTGACTCTTAATTATCATCAGCTGTACCTTCAGGTACTCGTACAGGCAAAAGCATCTCCATCTCGATCTCGATGTCGTTGATCATCCAGAGACCCTGTGGTTGGAGCTTGGCGGGGGCTGCCGGCGTAATGAGCAGCCGGAGCGCGGCGAGGCGGGGCAAAGACAAAGTCCAAGCCGCAGCCGGAGGCGTCACGCTCGTTTAACCTTTCAAGTGCGACAAAGATCGCCCAGATGAGGAGTGGGGAGAGGGCAATGGTTGGTAGGTTGTCGGGTGGAGAGGGAGGTTCAACTCGGATTGACATGACATAAGCGACTAAACGCAACTCCATAAAGCCATAAAGCCATAAAGCAGTGGGCGGGGGGAGGGGCGGCCAAAGTCTACGACTGTGCCGATCTTTGGGGTAGCAGCTGTATGATATAGCCGTCTTATATTGATCAAATATAAATATACTCCCCAAAAGCAGCGCCCCCAGAGAGCAGGCAGCTTGCAATTAAAGGCGGCCCCGAATGAACCCCCGAACTCAGGAAAATTATATAATTACTCGAACTTCGCTGGCAAGTGCTGTGATTGTGCCCTCTAGATCGGAGTCTCTTAATTCGCTCGTCTAATGGCACTTTTATGATCTTCGTGTCGGCTTTCATGGGCAGATTTTCGTTGATATTTTCAAAACATTAAAAGCACTCTAAAAACCCGTTCAAATTAAGTCAAAAAGTTGGTCAGCCATCAGCCTTCAGACCTTCAGGCCCGAAAATATGTTGAAAATATTTAAGAGATTACAATCTGAATGTTTGGATATTCTTATGTACATATATTTCCTATCAAGCCGATTACCGAACTTGTCTTTGTAATTGTCAACTTTTATAGTAGTGTCGCCCGTCAGGGAAAAAGGAAAACCCTTTTGTTGCCGGACCGCAGGCGGAAGCGGAAATGCCAGTGCCATTCGAGCGCTAACGAGCCACCACCACCACCAGCACCACCAGCACCACCACCGGACGTACTTGACATTGTGGCTGTGGAAGTAGAGAATGGCCGAAGCGAGAATTACGACCCAAGCAAGCGTTTGCGCTGCCAATTAGGGTTTATTTTATTGACAATTTGTCAAAAGCCAAGAGCCAACAACTCCCCGATCGATCGCCCCCATCGATATCAAAGTTTGTATACAAAATATATGCCCGATTGTGTATGTATATTATTAACACATATCTTTGTGCAATAAATAATAACCTTGCCAAATCGTTTGACTCCGTTTCGCTGCTTGGCAACACACACACATCCATCCATGCACCCGTCCGTCCATCCGTCCATCCGTCCACCCGTCCACCCGTCCGTCCCTCCATCCATCCAGAGAGAGAGACAAAAGTTGCACTGCAGCGAACAACTTTTTGATTTCGGATTCAGATTCCAATTCCAATTCCGCTGCTGCTGCTGCTGCTGCTGCTGTTTTTTAATCGCTGCTGAAAATCGAGAGCTGCAGAGAGCGAGAATTAGCTATAAACTTTGCACTTTTATGTTTTATGTGCAATTTGTTGCTGCTGCACTTATGTTTTTATCTCCAGCAGCAGGTGAACTTTGAACGGAATTGAAGCATGGCTACATGGCCAATACATGGTAGGTATGTGGAAAAAACCTCAACGGAAAAGAAGAAATGAAGGCCGGGAAGGCCTGCCATGGAGGCCGAAGCTGCTGATACTCTTGCACCAAGATCAGGGGCTGCCAAATTCCTAAACACCAAGAATGGATCTGTCCAAATGCTCACTCAGGAAGAGATAACACATATGTGGTCCAAATAACTATAATGCCTTTTGCGAGGGTATGTGTTTGAAAATAAAACCAATCTTTCATCTATTAGAAATTTCTGACTGCCTTGTAGCCTCCATCCGAGCCGAACGGAGCCAGAGCCAGAGCCAGAGCTAGAGCCAGAGCCGACACACAAAAAATTAACATAATAAATAGCTCCATAAATATTAAAAGCAAACTAGTAGTTGCTGCAATTTTTACTCTTTTATGTCGGCACTTTCAGAGTGCTTTTCTGTTTTTTCTGTTTGGCCACAGGCGTTGATTCGATTCGATTCGATTTCATTTTGGCAGGCATTCAGCAGAAAGATGATGATTTCACAATTGGTTTAGCCTCAAAGCCACAAGAAGTCCTTCGCAGCCAGTCTCCGTCCCCGTCTCCGAGCTAATTTCTGCTAATTGGTGGCTGGCCCGGCCAATGCCAATGCAAGACGAATAGTGTCATGGCATTATCGATCGATAAGAGCCCAAACACCTCTGGAGGAAGGAAGAATAGCGAAAGAATCCATTGATCGGGAATAAGATAACAATAGGAATAGCATTAGATACAACGGGAATTGTATATCCTTTCAGAGGATGTTTAATTTCGTGGCTTAACCTAAAAACATATGCTATGGTCTTTAGTTCTTAGGTGGCATTAACAGCAACAGAATAAGCCACTAAACAGCTATCAATGTACATAGTACATACAAAATGTATCTATAAAAGTCAGCAGCTTCTCCCCCACTGAAACCTGATCCCTGACCCCGTGTCTCTATCCACTCCCCGCATTAGTTTAGCGCCGAGTCATGGATTTAATTATTCAGAGCTGATTTTTGCCTGTTTATTTTGCTACGGTTTTCGGCCAATCACTGCAATCAAAGCCAGACAGTCGAATTTGGACAGAAGGCAACGGCTGCCAGATGCCTGCCTGATTGATATCCAATCCAATCGAATCCAATCCAGTTCCAGAAATTCACCCAGTCACTGTTACTACACTCGAGAGCAGATAAAATCTCACTAAGTAATAGTACGTGTATTCTGCTGCTTTAAAGGTGCCATAAAAGTGTTATTAAACGCATACAAAGATGACAAAAAGGAAACGAGCGGCAATAAATTGTCAATTTTGCATTTTAAAGCTCAATATTTTTCGGACTGTAAGCTGAAGCTAGAAAACATTCAGTTCCAATTTACAGCTGTATCTAACAGCTTTCAGAACTGCAAAGTTCATTACAATCAGATGTAAAATACTTAAGTTATGTGCAAAAAAAGAAGCATTACCTCTAAAATAAACATTCAAAACGAGCGTTAGGTGTCGCAGCTAGGGCCGCGACTCTACATTTATATCCGGTACCCGAGTATGCGTGTGGCTGGAGGTAGCGTAGCCAATGTAATTTAATTTGTTCCTTCTGGCCATAATAATGAGCCGAACGGATCCAGATTGGGAAATCTGCTAGATATTAATTATCATTCTTTATGATTTTGCGTCTTTATTCTTCTCTGCTATTGGGCTTTATATGGCCGGAAATGCTACCTTCGGGGCGTTATACACATAACAAGTCGAATATAGCCCTACACTGTTTTTGAGTATAGGGTATCGAAAGCCAAGTACCGGGGCATCAAACGACCTGATCGATATCACGTAATGTTGGACAATGCAAAAAAAAAAGACATGGAGCGAAAAACATCCAAGAAATAGTCGTCGCCAAGGTAAAACTGATAAATCATGATTCCCGTCTCCGTCTCCGACTACGGGCTTTATCTGGGGCTCTGTCTGTGCCCTTTCCTTTGGCAATACTGCTACGAGTATTTCACACCCAAAACCCGATGGAACTTTTTAATATTTTTTTCTGGGGTTTTTTTGGCGCTTGCTGGCCCACCAGGTTCGGTTTGCCAATCTACTGAAAATGACGGCCAAACCAAAAGCCGCAGCAGCAGCCGCAAAGTTGTTAACATGTTAGTCTGGCTTAAATGCATTATGATTTTGTTGTTGCCTGTCGCGGCTGCCACAATTTCCAAAGTGTTTCGAGTGGATAATGCGAAAGTTTACGAGCTCATTGGCTGGCCCCATCAGCAGATGAGCGTTAAAGCATTGAATGACCCCACAGATGGGCACATTTTATGGAACAGCATGCGTTACATACGAGTACATACATATGTGTATCCCTGTGCAGCAATTGGTGCGCTTCTAGAGGCTAATTCAGTTGAAGATTGTATCATTGGTTAGAGCATCCTGTATTCACCTTTGGCCACCGCTAGAATGGGTCTGTGTCTGTGACTTTTTTGGTAGACAGCTTCCTTTTCACAGAGAGCGGCAGGCGCTAGGCAGGGGGGCTGCGGGGGCTGCAGGGGCTGCGGGGAGGGGATCAAATCAAGTTGTCCGCTGGCATTAGAAGTGATTTGTCTGTAGTAGGCCCAGGTCTTATGCACGTACAAAATATTGTACACTTATTATCGGTAATTGTTTGCAATTAGTCACCGACGGAGGCTGAGCCGGAGACAGACTGTGAGAATTGGTTATGGGCTAATTTATGCAATGACAAGTACCCATAGCCCCTCGTATTCGTATTCATAGCCCCGTATTATTTGGACAGACCACCTCCCATGGCTAGTGCTGGGACGTGACTGGAGTCACAGCTTCGCGATGATTCGATTGGTACGGGCATGACTCAAAATCAGTTAAAAGTCCGCCCCATGATAGCCCCATAAAAGATCATTCATTGCCCCCGAAAACCCCGTCCAGTCTGGGGCAGGGTCTCAGCCAGCGACAATGAAAAACGATATAGAGCAGACACTGAGCGATGCTACTTACGAGTACCCGCCACGCAGCCATGTGCCATGTGCCATGGGCCAAAAACGGTGGCAATTAAAACGGAGGAGTCACACAAGAAGCACAAAAAAACAACAGCCTCTGCCTCAGAGATCGACATCTGCTTGGGCTCCGCACAACCTTGTTATTGTCTATGGCCTGTCATTAAAACTTGAACAACAACAACAGAAACAGCAACAGCAACAAACATTGAACAGGGACAACAATGGCATCGACATCAACTCTGACATCCACACCGAATCCAACACCGGCTCCAGCTCGAGCTCCAGCGACACCGGCAATGTCTTTTCATTTAATTGCACCATTGGGCACATGGCAAAGTGAACTGTCAGCCTCAGCTCCAGCTCCAGCTCCAGCTTCAGACTCATCCAAACCGAACTGAGCCGAACTGAACCGAGACTTGGACAATTTAAAATGTTGTCAACGTCGAAGGTACAAGAGCCCGAATTAATTGATGCGCCATGAAACGCCGTTCAATGGCAGGGCCGGACGCGTGTGTCGCTGTGTCTCTCCAGCAATTAGGTACAATTTGAGTGCAGCCATCGGATGTACCGGAATGAGCATTAATTGTCGTCCCAGGCCATAAACTTAGATACAATTTATAGATGCATATAGGATGGCAGATGAACGACAGGGACTGCAGAGCAGCAAATCGGATACGAGTATCATCGGATGTGTGTGTGTGGGATATTTGTAGTGGCATTATTGGTGAATAGTTGTATTGTTTTGATCTTGATGATTCAAGTCCAGAAATGGATCTCCTCATGAAGATTGAGCTGAAAACGATACAGTAATACAGTAATAGGCGCTAAAAAGGTTGACATTTTATGATGGGTTACAGTCTACATTAGGGATGGCTTATTACACCTTTTGCATCCCCCGATATCGATGAATGCCTCCCATCGATCCTCCTTCCCTCGATGGCTGTCCCGAATTTAAAGGTCGCCTTGCTCCGTGCTCCGTGCTCCGTGCTCTCTGAGCTCGAGGATTACGTACATATGCCAAATCTTTAACGCCCTGTTGCCAACATGACAAGTAGGCGGGGCAAAGGCAAGACAACAAATGGATGCAGAGGCAGAGGCAGAGGCAAAGACATGGCGCCAGAGCAGAGGCAGAGGTCCGGCCATTAAAACTAATTTCGTTGTCATTTTCGATTTGGCAGCTTTTGCAAAAAAAAAGCGACCGGCCAGACCAAGACCCGTCTGAAACAAATTTCATAATTTGTACTCTTATGTATTTTTGCAAACATACATACAATGTGCACACACATACATATATGCAAAATGCCATGCCTGTGTGTGTGTCAAAATCTAATTCACCTTAAACTGATTTCGAACGCATGCAACTTTTAGTGAGTCTCTCGCTCAAGTCTCTGACTAACTGAATAGCCAGCCCCTGAATAGACTGACTGCCTGACTAACTGACTGACTGACTGACTGATTTTGGATTTAGTTTTTGTGCTCGCCTGCGTTCGCTTTTGCAACCCAGCGAGCGGATAGCAGAGCAGAGAGATACTTTATCTCTTGGCTGTTGGCTGGTTGCCGCTGGCTTTTACAATGTACAACGTACAATGTACACGCGGCGTATGCGTAATTTGTAGTTCACCATGCATGTCTGCGCGAACACTTGCACTTCTAAATGGAGCGACTACTGGCTGCTGGCTGCGACTGATGGCTGGTTCGAGTACTCGTACTGTGTCGTTCACCCATTGCAGATCTTGAGCAAAGCCCACAACTGGTTATCCTTCAGACAACTTGTTGCCGAAGGTAAGACAGAGACTGGTCTGGTTTCGGAAGGGATCCAATCGGAACTGAGCCACAAAAGAGAGCAACAGATACAGACACTGGTACTCCCGACAGCAATCAATTCGAATCGAATCGAATCGAATCGAATTACGTTCAATGGAAGCTTCCGGCTACAAGAACTCCAATACAGTGGGGATTCGTTGAAAAGAATTGTGACTGATTTAAGACTGATAAACAGCAGAAGATCAGTGTGGCAGCCTCTCTCTTAGTCAGACCCCGCTGTAAGCCACGTCTTAATCCACTCTCCATTCATCTCCATTCACTTACTGGAAACCCATCGTAAAAAAATGTAGTTCACGATGATCTGAAGGTCGACTATAGCTAACCATCTTCACTATCATTGTGCTCATGGTGATGTGATCGATCGCTGAATCGTTCAAGAACAAATTATAACTGTCGCTGGCCACAGCTTGTCGGTTCGTCGGCTTGTCGGCTCGTCAGCTCGTCGGACGACATTGTGGTCTTGTGGTCGATCTTTGATCGGTGATCGGTGTGTCTGTATTGGGTCTGTATTGCCTTGCTGCTGGGTTGTGTGCTCGACTACTTGAAGGTTTTCTGCCGATTATCATCGAGTCGTTGGGCAAAGTGCATGGCCAACATGACGCTGCAGAAATTTTGTTGGCTCTAAGACCAGTTACATAAGCCCCAAAGAGCCACAAAGGGTTGTTTGTTGCCACACACACACACCACATAGAATGGGGTTAAATTTGCAGTTTTTACAGGGATTGGAAAACCCTCGGTCCGGGATTATAAATTTTGAACTGCAGCGACATCAGAGATTTAGTAACGGCCATGTTGAATTCGGTTCTTATATACACAATTAGTTCACTTTGATTTCAACAGTCTTGTTAATACGTTCAATATTAAGTCGAAATGTAAAACCCTAAAAACAAATAGAATACATGTATCCAAAATGTAAAAAATATATTTGGATCAATCCATTCCATATATGTATTTGAATCTATTCTCGCTGCAAATATCTCTTTATTATGTACAAAAGTTATGTGTCGTCGTCTTCCGATATTTTGCGCATATCGGAACGAAGTGAGTGAGCCGGAAGTTGGCGCACGAGCCAATGCTCATGGAATGCTTGCAAGGAGGATGGAACATTGGTAGACCACACAGATCAGTTGTCATAGATCCAAAAACCTCTTGTTAAATTCTTCAGCAGTGTTTTGATTTCTATGAATTTATGTGCTTGGCCCCGAATCGAGTCAAGATATAAGGATAGATTGGCGCTCTTTCAGTCAATGATCTATTATCTGGAAGCAAAAATGTAAATCAAGTTGAATTACAATATTTTTGGCCATTTTCGGAGTGCGGAATTGGGGAAACGATTTTCGAATTCGCAGAAAACTTCCAATCAAATCGAAATTGAATGGAATTGCCCAACAGACGGTCGACAGTCGACAGTCGACGGTCGATTGCTGAGGATACAGTAATTGTAAAAATTGCAATCGATAAATTCCACGCCACACTAACGATTAAACGATTATTATCGAGGGGGGAAAAGGTTTCGGGTTCGGCTTCGGTTTCGGGAAGGCGATCTTCGCTATGCAAAGTGCGATGTGCGATGCGCAGCTGCAGGAGATTGTGTAAGCCCAAAAGACAAAACAAGTCCCAGACATCGCTGCTCGGGGAGCTCTAATCCTGGAGACGGCCCACTGGCAAACTGACAAACTTACAAACCCCCCAAACTGATGGACGGATAGACGGACAGGTGGACAGCCGGGATGGGATCGGATGGGATGGACAGACTGCCTGACAAAGTGAAGCTGGCAGTCACGAGGCGGAAACTTTTCGCGTAATCGTGTTGGCCAAAAACCAAAAACAAAAAGCGGTGAAAAGGGGGGAAAAAAATATCAAAAAACGAAGCCCGAAAACGACTCAAAAGTCTGGTCAAGCTCAGAGAGACTGAGCAGAGACAGCGGCAGAGGCAGAGGCAGAGCGACTCAGAGCTGAAGCTTGGCTTTTGGCTCACTTTCGTTTTCATTTTGGCCAGGCTTTTGAGCCAGCTTGAGACGCGGACGCGACGCGGCCGAGAAGCGGCCGAGACTCGGCTCGACGCCGATGCCGTCGCCGAGGCGTTAAGCGGCTGACACGGCCGCTGCTCTGCTCCGCTCTGCTCTGCTCCGGCCAGCGCGCTTTGTCTCGAGCTTTAGTCGCTTGTGTGTGATAAAATCACGTTAGTAATCAATTGCAGGCCCAACAGCCCAGACCACATAGAGCAGCGTAGAGCAGCGCAGAGCAGGCACAGCACCGCACCACAGGCATCGCAGAGCAGGCACAGCACTCGTCGATAAGCCACAAGACCCACAAGACACTGTTGATTGTTTTTGTGTTGCATCCAACGGATCCACGCAACTGTTGCCACCTGTTGCCACCCTTTTTTGTTTCTGTTTTCGTGTTTGTTTGCTGTTTTGGACGAAGCCCAGCCCCCCGCAGGCATTTGATCAACGCGTATGTATCTCCGTATATCCGTTTATCCGTATCTCCGTTTCTCCGTCGTGTGTCGATCGGTTATAGTGAGGATACCCCAAAAATAATTCAAAATAAACCATCGATAACAAACAAAAACAAACATACAAATTAAAGCCAAAAACCAACACAAAAACAAACAAAAACATCAACCTCAAAAAACTGCTGGCACAAGCCAGAAAATTCCAAAAGAAACTATGAAAAAGTTTAACCAAAAATTTCATTTGCACTTCCACTTACAGTTTTTTTCATTTTTTCTACATGATTTTTTTTTGCTGTGACTTACACTTTTACAAGAAATTTCTGTTTGTGAAAAATGCCAAAACAAAAGCGCTAAAAAACCCCCAAAACCCCCAACTATGACGCGTGTGATGGACTATTTTCGGTTTTGTCTCATTTCGCATTTGCGCTGCACTCATTCCACCAGGTCTCTCGATTACCCAATTAATGCGCGAGTTGGTTAACAGAAAACAGAAAACGGTTTTGATTGCCAATTTCCAAGTTTCGTGTTTCGTTTTTCGTATTTCGTGTTTCGTGTTGTTGTCGAGTTTCGAGTGGGCGAAGTCGGTGACGGGAAGAGGCTACCAAATGGGAGTGGTAGTGGGCAAAAGGAGAACAGAACACTCAGAATTCACAGATCAATGAGCGAAGATCGCTCTCAACATCATGCAACCAAGCAATCTCTTATGTAGATGCGACCCATTACTCATACGCCCCGTATCCCCAGGGCTTTCCCATGCCCAGAGATGGTCTGTCCGTATGTCCGTCTGCTTGTGTGCCAGGAAGGGCTGTCCAGTCTGCCATTTGCCGACTCATTGGCTGCCATAGTTTCAGCTCCAAGTTGCCAAATCTCGGCCCCCTCCTCGATGTCTTCTCCTCCTTGGCGCCTTATTACAGTTTTCTGTTTCTGTTTCTGGTTTTGTTTTCGGTGTTGTTTTTTAATTGCGACATGTCCATGTCGATGCATGCACTCAATGCCACATTTTGTTGTGTGTTTTTTAATGATTTTCTTTTGTTGTTGCAAATTTTTTGCAATAACCAGCCAACGAGCAATCATAAAAAACAACAATAAAAAAGGTCTGTATGCAAAGACCCATATACTGGCAAATGAATATGTCCAGTCACGTTGAAGCGATCGATGGGGTGATCGATGATCACTTTTCGACAATTGTTAGAAGCAAATGGATCATGGAAAAACATAAATTAAAAACTCAAAACGAAAGACAGAGAGAGAGAGAGAGTTAGAGAGACAGCAGCTCGAAAGTAAAAGCAAAAGCTGGCAGATGACATAACATTGTGGCTCTGTTGTTGCCGGTTTGGGTCTCTCCTCTCTCTATCCATCTCCGTCTCCGTTTCCATCTCTTTCTTTCTATCTTTCTCTCTCTGTCTTGTCTGCTTTTGGCGCTTACGCCCCACCTTAGCAGCCTTTGAGCCAAGTCTCCCTCTCCCTCCCTCTTTCTGTCTTCGCCATCATCCACATGTTGCATGTTTCCACGCAAAACACAACTGGCGAGCAAAAGTGTTTCTTTGGTACCCTCTGCAACACCTCCCCCTATTCCTCTATCCCTTGGCATTGCCAAATTGTTGGATTGATTGACCAGGCCATCAGGGAGGTTGGTGGAAAGAAAGACAACAAACTATAGACTTTCAAGTTCATTTCGAAGTATTAAAATTCTTCAATTAGTTCCGAAACCCTTGACCTTTGGCCACCTCTTTTCTTAGTTCTCTGTGGAATCTAAGTGTGGGATTTTTAGATGGTTCCCAACACTATCTCTCCACATTTGTCAGTCCGATTCGCTCTTAGCATTTAACCTTTGTGCCTGCCAAGTGCCGGGAGTGTGAGTACTCGCATATCAAAGTCCAAGCAGTTCTAATTAGCGGTTTCCCCCACTGTATACTTAGCTTTACCTCCAATAAAAGATTGTCATTAGGTCCCCCCTCCCCTCCCCTCATCTGCATGATTCATCATTCACCTGCCTGCCGTGTGGCAGGAGGGAAGTGCGGGGTCTGTTGACCGAGCGAAAATTAGCTGCGACCCGGCACCGACACCGACACCGGCACCGGCACCCTTCCGCTCTAACCCTTCAATTGGAGTCGCGACTCGACGGCTTTTTTAATGCATTTTTGCTCATATTTTCCCACATTTTTGTGTGTAATTATGGATCCTACTTTACTGTGCTTTTCGCACCACCTCTCTTACTCTCTTTCTCTCTCTCTCTCTCTCTCTCTCTCTCTCTCTCTGCCTAAATTCAATTTCTTTGAAAAACTTGCACAAACGCACACAGCCATAGCCACAGCTACCGCTACAGCGTTTGCTGCTGGCCAAATACAAAAATACAAAAAGTGAAACAAAAACAACAACAAAAATTACATAATTCTTATTGCCGCGCTTTCTGTTGTGATTTAAACGAGTAAATTGCTCGCTGCCGCTGCGGCTGCCGTTTCCACATACTGCACGCGGCATTACTCATACGGCGTGTTGCCCAAGAAATGTCCAATATTTAAACTTGACCAAAAACCAGCCAACACACCAGCCACTATAGTCGCTATTGCCTATTGACAATTATCGTTAGCATCCGCATATCGGCAGGGACCTTGGGACGCGAGAATATAGCCGTCAAGCCAAACACCGAACCAACATCAAAATCAAATAACACGAGTTTTTGGCTTTAACTCCGTACAACGTTTAACTTTCAACGTTCAACGTTTAACGTTGATCATTGACATCGGTTTTTGGGTGTAGGACAAGAAACAGAGGAAAAAAACTGCCGCATCATCTGAAGGTCAATGCGACGACCTTTATCGATTGTCCACAAGCAGATACTGCTGCTGTGTATCTTTGTATCTTTGTGTTTGTGTATCTCATTAATTAATATGCACCTTTTGGCCACCTCTCTTTCCAGCGCCATTTATAGAGATACACATACACAGACAGACGCCCCAGACCCTAGACCATGAGGCAGCCAAGCAGACAGCAAATTCTGGCGCTGGCCCTGTGCAGCGCCGTCTGCCTGATCAGCGCCGTACCCGTGCCCCAGCCCGCCGGCAACCAGGAACTGGATGTACTGCAGATACCCCTGGCCAATGGCAAGGTAAGTCCGGCCACCACGAGGGTAGCTAAACAAGTTCTAGAACAAAGGAAGGTGACTAGAGCCCAGACTAGACTTAACCACCAAACATCTGAGATTAGACGGAGATGCTGTTCATAAGTTTACTTATGCTATGAGAATCTAAAGATGGAAAGATATTCGATAAACTTTCGTACCCAACCACGCTCAGAGTAGCGCGTGCTGCTGCAGGCCGCTGCCTCTGCTGCCTCTGCTGCCCTTTCGACCATATTTGCTAGACAAATTTGCAGTTGGATGAGTAAGCTGCTCCGGAGTCCGGCCAGTGATCGTTGGAGATCTCGGAGCGGAAATCAGTGGAGAGCGTCACCCAAGCAACGGGTTTTGGTGAGGCGCAAAAAACTTCCTTTTACTTTTTTGGACGGAGCCCGAATGCGGGTCTTGGGGTCTCTGGGCCCCCGGTCGGACCTGCGTGACCAGCTCTCGGCGTCGACGTCGCTGTCATGGCTGCGAGTCGAACCAGTTCCAAGGAAGTTGGCACACTTGTTACCTGTTTCCTTTAGGCCAGCTATAGTCTCAGCTGGCTGCTTGGCTACTTGGCAACTGCTGCTGCTGCTGCTGCTGCTGGGTGTTGGCCTGTTGGCCTGTCGACTATCTACCGCTCAAAACCGGACTTTTGGGTTACTCGGCCCGAGTGTTGGGCAAGCTGCAGCAGCAGCTCTCTGTTATTTTATTACTTAATTGCCATCGAGACAATTCCCCGACAATTCCCCGACAATTCCCACTCCCATTCCCAGTCCCCAGTACGCAGTCCCCAATTCAATTTAAATTTCAGTTTCATTTTCATTACGGCCACAGTTTCGTGCTCGATCATCGTCAAAGCCATCGTCCATGGATCATAGAGCATGCAGCATGGACCATTGTGCTGGCCAATTAACACTACCTGGCCAGCCCCTGTGCTAATTTGTTACCCAAAAACTCTTTTGTTCGGTCTGCGTTTTAGCATTGTTTTATGTCAATTTCTGTGACTTTCACTTTGTGCAACAAATTTGCACAAATGTCTGGTCTGCACTGGTCCCCCTCCCTTCTTTTTTGTTTATAAATATTTACTTGCCAAACATTGCATTAGATCCGAGTATTAGATTTGTATTTGTGAAGGCTTTAAACACTTTCAAAGGACTTCTGCATAGATAAACTCCCTTCTTGAAATCAATCTCGTGTTCCATCGTCCAATAGTTGTTCAACCTTTTGATTGCTCCACTCGTTACGATTAAGAGCATCGCCCACGCGTTTTGAAATATCATCTACATCTACTTAGGGGCCCACAAAAATTCCAAAACCCAAACGAAAATTTTAAACAAAGTTGTAAGCGTTTGTCATTGCCCAATTTGGCTGTGGCTGTTTCTGCGGCTGCGGCTTTGGCTGAAAGCAAAAACTAGGTCAAAATGTAGCCCAAACAAAACGATGATACGATAATGATGCCGATATAGTATATACTTACTCACTTTTAGGTATAGGTATAGAGTATAGACCCACACGCCATAGCTATAGCTATAGCTATCTATCTGTATATCTGTATTGTCTAGGGCGTGGAGGAGGGCTGTCTTCAGATGATGTTCATCTCGGCGTGTTGACATGCCTTGCGCCATAAATCATTTAACGAGAGGATGACAATGATGATTGAACCAGGCCCCCCCCCCCCCCCTCCTCTTAACAACTAAGTAGCTCTATGGAAGAGGAGGCACCACATCTATGGACAATTTTCCGTTTTCCTTTTCTGATGCAGCAGCGATGTCAACTGCAATGATATCTCCATTGTGCTCTCGTACGAATCGTATTGTGTGTGCCAGCAGCAGCAGCAGCAGCAGTTGCTATTTTGTTTGGTCTGTTTGTCTGTCTGTCTGTCTATTTGTCTGGCACTGTAACTGTGACTGTGACTGTGACCGGGTCTCTTTTTCTTTATTTTTTCTGTCGTTTTGTTCGTTTTGCTGGCTTCCTTGGCGCCCCAGCACGTGGCTCAAATGACATAACAATAACCGGTTGCCCCGGGGCACAACGCAAACACTGGCTTACCCTTATCCCTTATCCGTTATCCGTTATCCTTATCCTGTTGGCTATGGAAATCAGATATCCCAATCGCATATACTCGCTTACACTCTCCTTCATTGGCAAACAGTTTGGACCTGGACTCGATGAGAGGGTACAACAAAAGGGACAATTACCACACCCCTTCCCCCCACTAATATGCTTTTCTTTTTGTGCCCCATAACCTTCTTTCCCTCTCGAACTCTCTTTGTCAGTATCACTGTCATCTTCTCTTTGGTTTTGCACCCACAAACGACAGCGTTTTTGATTCCTTGCCAAGTGCAAGTCCCCCGCCACTCCCCATCCCCTCGGCAGACTATCCGCTTATGTAAGATTAGACTCCCTGCCTACCCCTCCTGCCCCTCCTCCCACTCCTGCACCGGTGGTCGGTCTGTTGCACACATATCACGCATATGCCGCCGCATTGTCAATCGCAATTTGTGGCAACTGCACTCGGGGCATGGGCGATGGTGGATGGGGGGGGGGGGGCTGGGGGCTTACTCGTAGCTCTGGCAATTTGTTGGTAGCTGCATTTTTGTTAAGTGCCAAACGAGACGCGCGCTGCCTTTTCAGTCATGAAGAAGCAAACCGAAATGAAAGACTAGATTTGGCGGCTCCAAATCGAAGTGCACCCTTGCCCCATCCCCATCTATTATTGGAGGAGCAGGAGACCCTATTTACTGGCTGCAGGATTGGGCAGGGTGAATCCTGGAGGGTGATGCTGATCCTGAATACGCCCTCTCTGAAGGCAAGAGGTAAATGTTTGGTTTGGCTATTGGCAAACTCTTGAGAATAATTAATACCGTGGCATTATCCAATCCAATCCAATGATTCAATGATCCAATGATTTGATTTATTCATTTTCGAATTCGAATTCCAGTTTTTCTCAGTTTTTTTTTTTTTAATTTAATTTAATTTAATTGTGTCGTGTATTTTTTATTAGCTTCGCGGCTGCTGCTGCTTGAGCAAGGCCTTTAACTTGCTGGCAAGTGGCCTAAGCCTTAAGCAGCATTTAGCAGCACTTCGACCACCGCCCCTCAATGGATTAGCGATGGGCGTGTCCCGCTCTGTAGCGACACGCCACGCACTATGACGGGGGGTCGCATTTGCAATTAAATTGATTTTTGTGGCCCCGGCTGGAGTCACTTAGCCAGCAACAGTTCAACACTGTTGGCTAGGCCCTAGGACAGTGTTAGTCAATGTCCAAAGTGGAGTTTCAAGCTTCCTTCTCGCTGATACTCGTCGATTCTTTTTGCATTTGGTTTTTTCTTCTGAAGCAATCTTCCATCGTTCCAAAAGTTTTTTTTTATTTCAAATATCAAATTTTTTTTTTGCATAGCTAATTTATGCGTAATTTGTCGCTTATCGAATCTAGTTTTCGACTCGACTTCGCCTTTGATTGCTTTTGGAGGTTTTTTTTTCATAAACGAATACGCAAACGACTGCCATGTAGCCATATAGATAGCTATATATGTATTTATGTGTGTACGTATGTGTATGACAGTTATTTGTGGTATTTTTTATCAAGTTTAGAGTCGCCTTAAGTTGGTTAAGGTCAAGGCAATTGATATGGCTACGGCTACGGCTATGGCTGTCTGGCTATGGCTGTCTGTTGGAGCCTATTCAAAAACGTTTTTCGATTTTGCTTTTTTCTTTATCACTGGCTGGCTCTGGCTTGAGTGGAGCGTTCGAATCGATTAGGAGCATGAAGCTAGAGCTGGCCGCGTGAGCAGCTCCAGTCAAGAGTCCATTCGATTCTGTTATACATACGTCGGATTGGGATCCGACGGGATATTATTCCCGGCGCATTCTGGTCTGCTTGCTGCTCAAGAATTCACTGAGAGATGGTTGACAGTGCTGTCCCATTGAAGCTGGGGTTTTGCAATGCTAAGAGAGCAGTGGCGTCTGAGAGTTTGTCCATTGCCCACCAATCGCAGATCCGAGTTCTGCATAAAATCCGGCATATATACATATTTATGTACATATCACATATGTACATACATTTGTAAGCCTTCGAGCGGCCCGCCTGCCAATTTAGTGGCAGTGGCAGTCGCTTCTTCCGCGTGTGTCTTGAAATTCCCAACATACTTGGGGCTTGGGGCTTGGGGCTCGGTGCTTTGTGGCTCGGGACTGGGGAGGCAGCTGCTTAAAATTCACAGCATTCGCTTTAATGACGTTGGCCGGTGCTGCCTCCTGGACTTGAACTCATTTGAAATTCATTAAGATGTCCCATAAAAATGGCAACTTTTGCTTCCAAGTACTTTCTGTCTGTCTATCTGTCTGTCTATCCAAACAATTGTCGCACTAAACTGACACTGACAGACAGCTTAAAATATGATGAATACTTCAGAGAGGCACTGTGGCAGAGTGGCAGAGTGGCAGAGACAGGGACTGCCAGATGGCAAGTGGCAAGTGGCAACAGTTTGTTGGCGAAACTAGCAAAAGTTTACTTTATGCCATGTCTCCGCCCCATCATCATCATCATCATAATCATAATCGTAATCATCTTCGCTGCTGCTTGCTGACTTCCGCCCGCGTGTAAAAGTCAACTTCCGCACCGACTTTTGAGTCAATTAAACACTGCAACAGCAGAGCAGAGAAGCAACATCAGGGGAGGGTTGCAACAGCAGGAGGAGCCACACTCTCAGCTGAATGAGCCCCGAGAATGATTGGGGACCGGCACTGGGTCTGGGGTCTGGGACTGGGGCCATTCCGCTTCGAATCTTTTACCTTTAAGTAGCTCTCTGCGCGAGGCATTCCGAAAGTTTTGCCAGTTTGGAAAACGTGACAATTGCATTGCGATACTCTGCCGAAATGAAATGGGGGAATGGGCCATGTGACATACAGATGGGGTTTGCAGCGGGGCTGTGCTATAATTTTCTACAATTTCTACTTGGAAAAAGTACAGATATAACAAAGGCAAATACCTCCAATAAAAGACTATTCATTATTCAAACTAAATACAATAGGAAACTCTCAATCCTTGAACAAACAATAGGTACATTGTATGCAGCGGAGATACTAATCCCAGATGCAGTACTGATAGTACTCGCAGAGACTATATATAGTACTTCAATAGATCCCCCCTTCCAACAATGTTCAGAGCCAGCTTCAAAGGAAATATCGAAACCCCTCTACAGATCGCAAAGGCTTCTATCGCTTAGAGTATCGCATAAACAACTCTGAGTAGGTTTTATCTTCTTGCATTGTCCGATATTGAAATGGACGCCTCTGCCTCTGCCTCTGCCCCTGCTCCTGCTCCTGCCCCTGTCCTCTTCTGTTTCTCAGGGAAAAGTTAGAGGGGCGGAAGAAACTTTTCCAATTGTTAAAGTGTTGATGGTATATTATTAGATTGTGCTGCTTGGGCGCCCCATTCCTCCATTCACCGTCCCCGTCGCCGTCCCCGTCCCCGTCCCCAGCACCTGGCACCTTGACAATTGCTGCTGCGACTAAGAAGTGGTTGGTGCTGCTGCTGTTGCTGTTGCATGTTTAGTGACTCGTGCTGTTGATTGTCCAAGTTAGTTGCTGCCTGCCCCAGCCACTCACCCATTCACCTATTCAGTGATTCAGTGATTCATTCATTCCACCCACTCCCCCACAAAATGCAATTTTAATGCAATTTTCATAATTTATTGTGCAATATTTTCAAAGCTTAGCCGAGAGTTGTTGTTGTTTCTGCTCGGAATAGCCCATTAACGTTAACAACGTTTTTGTGAAGTCATTTCGCTGTCGGAGAGGCTGAAGCTGTGCCCTGCCTCGGGCTCAAGAGCCACCCACTTAGTGGCTCAGGAGCCCAATGTGGTGCAGGGAAACGCTTGCAGCGATAGAAGAAACCACAGGGAAGAGGCGAAAACAAACCACATACAAATCACAAATTACAAATTACAATTTACACTTGAAACTTGATTGCACAAAGGGGCCACAAGGGGCAGTGACAGTGGCAGTGGCCGGGGCAGTGGCAGGGCCAGAGTCACTGAGCCAAAGGCTGAGAGACTCATTGTCTAAAGTGAAAGTTTCTTTTTTTGTCAATTTGCGGCCACTTCGGGGCATTTTTGTTGTTGTCTTCTGTCTTCGACTTCATCTTCCTCAGCTGCCTCTCTGCCAGATTATGCAATAGACGTACAAGTGGGAGACGCTCTAACTCTAACTCGAACTCTAACTCTAACTCTAACGATAGTCTGATTATTTCATTGTTTTTTTTTTTTACAGGAAATCGATGTCTTGACATTGGGCGCCAAAGATCAAGAACAATTGATAGCCGATCGCAATAAAAGAACGATTGGATTGCTGCGTGAACTGTTTCCGGATATAACCAAGGTATGAATCGAACTGCACTATATGTACTATATATATCAGACCCCGCCCCCCTTTCTCTCTCTGGTCTCCCTCTGTCTGTCTTCACAAGCCCCCACTCTCAGACACTTAACTCTATTCTTACCCAGAGCCAGACCCAGACCCAGACTAGACTAGGGCTAGGCAATCACTCAATCAATCAATCAATCAATCAATCAGTCACACCTCAACTAAATCAAACGAAATGAAATATGTGTTCCGTGTAGGAGATCAATATGCAAATCAATCGTCTAGTCAATAATGTGCTGGCACGCGTCGGGCCTATCGTCCTCGGGACGGTTCTCAATCCACAATTTGATCCGACAATCCTGAGACATCCGTCGGATGAGGATGATAGCGATACCGATACCGATACCACTACCAATACCGATACCGATTCCGACAACAAAAATGGTGACAAAGATGAGCGACCGTCCAGCGATAAGGACTATGAGAGCCTACCCGAGGAGTTGACCCGCTTTGAACCCGATGGGGAGTTCGCCGGCCAGACCAAGGAGCCCAGCCCCAGCCCGAAAATCTAACCAATATATACTTCTATGCATAGATATAGCTTAAGGCCTTCCCCGAACCACACATTGGCACATTCTGATATCGGGTATTAGTGGATTAGTAGCTGGATTTGCCTACTCCCTCGGTTCTCCTTGATTTGCATGTCCCTGGGGCTTGGAAAAAGTGCACTCAACCCACCCCACCACCACCAGCCACCTCTCCGCATGCCAGCACCACCAAGAACCAACACGCCACAACACAGACACAACAATTAAGCCCAACTAACCCACACATATAGCCCAGCAATACGAATCTCACTTCGAGTTTTCAGCAAACGATCAAAACCAAAAAACAAAAACTAAAAAAAAACCAAGAGACAAAACCATTCAAAAATTGGCCAAAGAACTCATCATCAATGAATCAGTCAGCAATCAGCAACAGAAACAATCGATAAACAATAAACCGACACTATCGACAACAAAGATCAGCATCAGCATCTCATGTGGGGAGCACCACCACCAACCACCAAAGAATCATCATCCACCAAGCAATCATGGAGCTCAGTTTTCGAGTGTGTTGAAAGTTTTTGTTGCATATTTTCTTGTGCTCTCCCGATAGGAAATCGACTCGATAGTCAATCGCATTATAGCCCAAGTGATCCGGGTGGCCGGTCCCGGCCTGCTCACTAGCATACTGGCCGGCAATCGCGGCGGTGCCGGTGGTGCAGGCGGTGCAGGCGGACGCATGACGACGCCAGGCAGCGATTTCGATGCTGATTTCGATGCCGATTTCGATGATGACGATGACGATGACGAAGTGGCACCGAGCAGCAGCTCGAATGGTGCAGCAGCAGCAGCCACCAATAAGGTGAACGGCAGCGACGACAGCTCGCGGGTGAAGATCGATTTGCCGACATTTGAGCCAGAGACAACGACTCCGACTCCAACGCCGACGACGACGACAACTAAAGGTGATAGCTTACCCAATTTAGTAGCATCTTCATATAGTCCCAGTCCCACCTCCACTACAACCACCTCAACCACCACCACCACCACCGAAAGTGTGGAGATTCCGAGCCAGTTGTTGCCGCGCTCCCTGGAGCCAGCGACTACTACAACAGCGCCAGCAACAACAACAGCCACCACAACTACCACCACCACAACCTCTTCTGAAAATCCCCCTCCAGTACCTACCAAAACCGCCATCCAGTTTCCCAACAACAATAGCATCGACGAACCACAATTGCTAACCATCATCGCCGATATCAATCGTTTATTAAATTCTACCAATTATTTTATTACAACCAGAGATAATCTAACAACAACAACAACCACATCTCCAACAACAACAACAACCTCCCTTGCACCAACAACAACGGGCAACATAACGAAATTATTGCCAGTATTTGATTGATCTGAAAAAGTGCTAAGGATTTAAAGCAACAACCACCACCACAACAACAAAAACAACAACAACAACTACTCCAACAGAAATAACAACAACAACAACAACAAAAACAGCTACAAGAACATCCACAGAAGAAGAAGAAGGAGAAGGCATCATCGAAACATCATTTAGCAGAAAACATTTCCACTCATCGTTCTCGATAGAAATTTGAAAACGGTTCAACGGTGGAAAGTTTCGGAATGGTGGTTCAAGAAACAATTTCAAAGTTATAGAACTTTAATCCTCATCGTATAAATCTGGTAGAAACCGTTGCGAGGATGGTGCGTACCTAATATGCTTTTGAAGCTTCTGATTTAACCACGATTCCAGCATGTTTCAAACAATTACTGGGATTGCGTTCTCTCTAGAAATGTATCTAGAGAGCCACTTGTTGAACCGTTTCTGAACCAACATTGAACCACATACCAGTCACAAGCCACCTTGACATCACTCGAACCATTGGATATCCTTGTAGATGTCACCCACACCACATTTGTTGCGCATTCTTATTGTTGATATACCCTAGAGACCCCAGCCCACTTCCAAGTTCCTTTCAGCAAAGACCCCTGACCTGACACTACACTCCACACCTCCCCCCCTCCCATGTATGTAACAACACTCAAGTAAACTAATCTCCCAACAACCGCCCCCTATGCACTTGCCACCTGCCACCTGCGATACACACACACACCGAATCCGAAACCGAAACCGCCATCGATGATTCCTGGTTGTTGTAGCAAATCGATGAGCAAGCGAACCGCATCATCTCCAAGCTGCTGCGCACCCTAGGGCCCACGGTGCTCCGGACGGCCATCCAGGGCAACAGCGCCAATGCGGCGAGGACCAGCTTCGATGCGGACTTCGACGACGACGATGACGAGACCAGTACCAGCAGCAAGGGTGACAACACCTCCACTACCAGCGACTCCAGTGGCACGCGAGTGACCATCGAGCTGCCGACCTTCGAGCCCGACGATGACAACGAGATCGATGCGGTGGATAAGAGCAGCAGCAGTAGTACCACCATCTCAACCACCACTGAGTCGACTGACACGCTGTAAAGTCACAAACAAAATGTGCGTTCCATTTGCTACAACAACTGTGAGATAACTAAAAAAAGCTTCGCTACCAACTGATGAAATGGCATTTAAATTGGTTTTTCTATCTATTAAATTTTTTTGTGCAGCGACTAAAAGAATACCCCCTACAACAACCACAACAACAACAACAACCACCACCACAGCCACAGCCACAGCCACATGTGACCACAACAGCCTCCCCTCCAACAGATTCGCTTAAATGTTGAAATTATATTCAAGGAAATGAAATGAAATATTAGCATTGTTAACCAACACGAAAGTTGTTTTGAAATTACTTTTCCCACACTGGTTTTCAGCACACACCCACACATACAAGCACAAGAAATATCTGTCTCTGTCTCTCCCTCTCTATGTCTTAAGCTCGCTACTTGTCTCTCTCTCTCTCTCTCTCTCTCTCTCTGACTGTACTTTATCTGCCTCTGTCCTTTCCTATACTCAGAACCTCTACCTACATTTATCTATATCTCCATCTGTCTCTATACATCTGTACCTCTTCCCATGCACACTCTCATTCACTCGACCCTAGGCTAGTAGGTGTTTTTTTACAAGAATATATTTGACATTTATATTGTATTAGTTGTGTAAGACATGTTTTTAATACATTTCCAAATATACCGAATTAATGTTTACTACCCCTCTCTCGTATGACTTTTGCTATTGAAAACATACCCGCTTCAGATACATATCTCTCTCTCTCTCTCTCTCTACAATATATATTTTATTTTTCATTCCACACTTTTGGTGCCCAGACAGTCTGCGAAAACCACTCGTCATTTTTGGGAAAAGAGTCATGCATTTTGCTCACATGATCGAAACGAGTCACTCTTTTTTTTGGGGAGAGCAATCCTCCCTCATACTCATGAGTACCCTCATTCACATCTCCGACTTCTCACCATCCAAAGCATCCACAAAAGCGATCTACATATATCCGTATATCTTTATTTATTCATTCCTGCATTCCTGCATTCCTGATCGTCTATTGCAATCGTCTTTCTGCCGCTCTCAAGAACAAAGAAGCAAAAACAAAAGAGTTGACAAACAGATGAGCAACAATTTCCATTCTTCCAATACAATAGTTCTTGTACATAGATATTTCTCCTCTCAAGTCCAGAGATATGTAACTTTGAAGCAATCCGATTAAGACTATCGAATACTCGATATACCATCCGGAGAGCCCTGGGCTTGGTGCCATCTCGTCGCCTGATCTTGATGGATCGGTTTTTTGTTTTGTTAATGTTTAGTGCTCCGTTTTGCCTATACTGCCTTCTCCACTCCACTCCTTTTGTTTTTCTCTTTTGCTTATTTTTGTATCTTTTTCTCTTTATTTTCATGTTCCATTAAAACCCGATTCGATTTGTGCAATATCAATAACTCACAAAAAACAAAACAATCAAACGATAAACTGATAACCGATAACTGACAACCGATACCTGCAAATCATTCGACAATCAAACAACAATCGAAACGAAATTGTAATCGTAATCGATATCGCTATCGAAATGTATACAAAAATACATCGAACGCATTTGTGCACGTGCATTTATCCATTCATCACACGAAATGAATCGATCAATCAAACAAATCGATTGTGCAAATCGCCTAAAACAACATGCCATAAAATTCCTCCCTCTCTACCTCAACCTAACCTCAACCTCAACATTAATCACACCACACGCATACACACACACACACTCTCGACACTGGACACTCGACACACAAAACACACCACACTTCGCCGAATCCTCTGCTTTATTCCTCAACCCTTTGCTCCACGCTCCCTGTTGCCCAACCCCCTCCCTCTGTACACACACACACACACACACACACACACACACACACAATCGCACATAACCAACGCAAAATTCGAAATTTTTAAAATAAAAAAACCATAAAAACCAATGACAATCCCGAATCTGAACCCGTACCCGCACCCGTACCCGCAACAACCTGAAATCTCCCGATAACACAGAACGGCGCCACCGATACACAAATCGATCTGTCGGCAATTAACAAACAGCTTGAGGAGACCATTCGTGTGGCCCGCCAGGTCAAGGAGGCGGAGGCGGCCGCCGCTGCCTCCCAGTCCTCGCCGGTTGCCCAGGCCCCCATTCCACTCAAGTCCAACGAACCCATTCAGCTGAGCTTCAACAACGAGCTGCCCACACTCAGCACATCCAGTGGCACATCCTCCTCCTCCTCACCAACTGCCAGCCTCAGTGATGTGAAGGCATTGAGCACCAATGATCTGCAGCAGTCGGAGTCCAAGTCGCCGGCCATCGATGAGCTGACCCTCGACTCGGCTGAGGAGACGGCCGAGCTGGATGACCGCAACAAGAGGTAAGTGCCCTCCGTATACGTACAGGAGTACAGGAGTCACATGACTACACCCGTGAATTGGCCATCACATCACTTATCGATAGAACAGAGTCTTAGAGTCTATCGATGGCATTAACTTTTTAGTGAAAATTCCACCCAAGACACTCAACTAATCTCACACTTTCATCCCCTTTTCACAAACAATAAACAAAAAAAAACAAAAAACAACAAAACCACACCAATGGAATGAATGCACACACCCACCCAATAGTAATCTGTTCAAAAGGTTCCTTAATTTCGGCGGTGCGGGTCTGGCCGGTGGATCAAGCGGCAACGGTGCCGGTGGCTCGCCCAGCGGCAATAGCCTGGGAGCCGGCGGCTCCGGCAACTTCCTGCTCGATGTGGTGCGGGTGAGTGGTAACCCCTCTTTCCAGTCGAGATCCACTAATCTCACTCCGCACTCCACTCTTCCATCTGCTTAGCTCTTCTCGGGCAGCGTCCAGACCCAGCAGGGCGATGAGGCCGCCAACTCCGTGGGCGGCGGCGGTGCCAGCAGCAGCGGCCTCGGCGGCGGCAGCCTCGGCTCCGACGACACGGACGGAGACAGCACCCGTAATGCCGATGGCTATACCGAGGGCATTCCCGGCCCCGTGACGCGCCTGGTCGTGCTGGCCAATCGTGGTCTGGCCAATCTGGTGCAGGATTTGATTCTGGTAAGCAAAGAGTGTTTTTCGATAGCTTAGTTGTCGCTTATCGATCGTACTCGATTTGTAATCGTATCGTATACTTTTCCTTCTAATTGCAGCGCGTGGCCGCCACCAGCGAGAAGTTCGTCAACTTCAAGGCCAAGCTGATAACGGCGCTGATCTAAGGACCGAGTCCTGGCCTTGGCTCCATCCCTGCACTGGCCACGCCCTCGCCCGATTTAGTCAAGTCACACTCAACTGTACAGAGTCAAATGCAGCAGATCACACACTGCCCCCATCCCCTTCCGCGTCCCCTCTGTCTGTCTCTCTCTGTTTCACTCTCTCGACCACCCACAACCACACACACACACACACAATCACGCGCCACTCATTTGATAAAAAAAAACAACAACGAAAACCTTCTGGCAATGTACATTAATTTTTTTTAATCTTTTAGCAAAATTTTCATAACAAAATATAGAAAAAGAAGAGACATGAAAAAAAGAAAAGAAAATACTGAAAATCAAAGGAATAAATTTATTTATATTTTAATAAAAATGAACAAACATAAAAATCAACAAAAAACAAGAAACACATATCTATATGAATATGAATATTCTATATAACATATACATATATCTATAGAAACGCCTGAATCTGAATCGGAATACTTCAGGCCACGCCTAGGGCTGTCTTCTGTCTTTCTTCGGCTTTTGTAAATACATATATTGCCATTTGCAAGTTTTCACATCCTCCCCCCTTGAGCTTTTCCTTAATTTGTACTCCCCCATCGTCCACTCCACGCTACAATTTTTGTGTATATTTTGTGTTCTATTAAAAATCATGACTGTGGTGTTTTATTTACTATTATTTTTAATTATTTTAAACGAAAAACGAAATATGAAGAGAACGAAATGAGAAAAGAAGAAGAAGAAGGAGAGGAGGTTGCAGATGAGGAAAACACACATCAAGTTTCCACCCAAGAATAAAAATATACTCGATCATATATTATTATTATTAATATTATTATTATTTTTTTGAACTTATAATTTCGGTCACAAAAGTCACCCCCACACACACTCACCCACACAAACACGCAATGAACAGATATACTCGTATCAAATATATGTACACAATCGATCGACATGCCACGCCCCATTTTTGTGACCAGCCCCACTGCCCCCATCACCCCCAACTGGATTTGTTCTTAGGCCTCTCCCTCTACTCCTAAGCGAATTGTGTTTGTTTCTCATTATGACTTTTTTTCTAGCTACCTAAGTGAATGTGTTTCGACAAAATGTGTATAAAATATAAATAAAATGATTCTTAATATTAAAAGTAACACCTCTTTATTGGCTGTGTGATTGCCAGTGTATAAATATCAGGATAATCCATCTGGGAACATTCCACGGAACTGCTTTGCTTGACTGACTGACTGACTGACTCACAGATTGATGCAACGGCAGCGCATGCCGCACTTGAACGCATGTGTGGCATGTGTGTTCTTCCAGGGGCAAGGGTCCGCAAGGGTCACTTCCGTTTTCCAGGCTGCAGGCCGCACACAAAACCAACAAATAAATTGGCTAAACAAATTATCGATGGACAAATGAAGATGGGTACTTATCCTTGGGACGGATCGGATCAGTTCGCTTCCAGGCCATTAATATTGTACAAGTGCTTCGTTTGTCCGGAGAGAAAGAGATGGCGGGGAGTGGAGACTGGGAGTGAGAGTGAGCTAGTTGTCCGGCTTTGTTTTGACAAGTGCGCGCTGAGGCAATGTAAGAAATGCTCTCGTTATTGTTGTGTGTTTCTCTTCATGCACAATTTGTCGTCACTTGGCGATGACTTAATTCATTTAGCAGAGACCCATTGGAACAGCAGGCCATCAGAACAGCGGACCAGAGGCTGGACCTCTGATGAAGCGGTGCCAGAGGCTGATGAAGCTGCGTGCTACATTCAGTCAGCAATCGTCGAGGCAAACGGATGGCGATCTCATCAGCAGCAACTGCCTCTTATCTGCTCATGGCCCTCACCCACGACAGCCACAGCCACAGCCTGAGTCCAAGCGATGGGAGTGGCAGTGGAGGGGCCGGCGACTCCGAGGACTCGCAGACAGGAGGCCGCAGGAGACGGCCACCCAGACAGAAGATCAATGCCAGGGAGCGCTACAGGACCTTCAAGTGAGTCAAGGAACACACCCATAGAACAATAGAGCAGCTCTAAGCCGTTCTCCCTACACCTTCACCCTCAGTGTCAATGCCGCCTATGAGGCCCTGCGCAGTATGATACCCACGGAGCCAATAAATCGCAAGCTCTCGAAGATCGAGATCATCCGCCTGGCCAGCAGCTACATCAACCATCTGAGCAGCACACTGCAGACAGGTATGGGAGCTGGACTGGAATACCCTTCCTTCAGTTGTATTCTCATTGAAATTCTTCTCCCTCCCACAGGAACCGATTTTCAGCCTTGTCTGCTACATAAGTACGAAAACGAGGGCGGTGGAGCAGGAGGCCACACCAGACGCATCAGCATCTGCACTTTCTGCCTGAAAAGCAAGTAACGGAACAATATGGAGTAATCAGATTAAGACTAGATTAAATGCAATTGCAATGCATTTCGCGGTATTTATTTAAATTAAAACAGCCTTGGCAAATTCTTTCAAATTAACCGCCCAGTATCGGCGCCATCTGTTGGACTTGATATGTACTGCAGCTGCACGCCGGTTGACGGCACTGCCATCTATTGCTGAACTGCTGCATTGTTGTGTTTCTTGTCAGTTGTGAAAATATTTCAATTTGCAAGCAATTTAATATAAGCAAATTAATATATGTAGAGAAACCATTTAATAGATTTTTTAATTTAATTCATTACCGCAGAATTTTCACCAATACTAATTTAAGATAAAAGGCCGAGTGGCCTTATTTTCAACTGTCCCGGCCACATGGGCGCTAAATAAATTCATTAAATTAAATTTTTTAAATTCTATTAAAGAACATAGGGTATAGAAACTTTTGTACGGAGGTTTTTTTTACATTCAAAACAGTTTCACTATTTCATTTTTAAAAATTCCACTTTGGTGCGAAGCTTATCTCTGGTCGACTGGATTCAAATGTGTAGTTGACGTTCTCAAAAAAGGACCATTTTCATTTAAAGAAGAGTTCTTAAAATTAACCAATCTGGTAAAATATTGATTTATCGATTGGATAAAATTATGAGTTTACACCGGAGGGTCCTGCCTAGCTATTTATATCAAATCGAATATCTGAATCGACAAATTTAACTTCCGATCATGGACAGAGAACGATTAACCCATTGTCGACCAGTAAATTTTTACGGAATATTTCAAAAGGGAGACCGTATATTTCGGTATAAAAAACCATAGCAAAATCATACCAAAGTCGAAGCAACACGATGAAGATTATCACTTTCTGTGGTGTTGAGGGAGCTGGCCGAACAGCTGTTCATCTGACAACGCGGACGCATGTATGTACGACATGTCTTCAAATTTGTTTCTCATCGGTATTTTTGAGGTATTTCTGAGGGTCAGATGGTTATACTGCTGCTCTTTGCCACAACGCAAAAATGAGTCGTAATTTTGAATGGGCTATAAAAAGGGTATCGACAAAACCAACCAACGCGAACCGCAAGGTTCGTACGAATATTAACCGATTACATAACTTGAAGGCAAAATCGGCAAGGTATAAATAATGGGATAAATAACTGGGTCAATGGGATAAATAACTGGACCGTTTTGCCTGTTCTACATACCCTCTTTTTCTTCACATTATGTAGCCAATGTGTAGTTGTTGTGTAGTTACTATGGCAACAAATAATTTTAGTGGAAATTGTTGTTGACTGTTTTAGCTTAAACCTTATTTTGTATGCAATGCAATAAGGATGAAAGCTTAAATTTAAACAGTCATGTAGGAAATTGATTATATAATCGGATAAAATTATGTAGGCATGCCTTTATGTGATATATAGCTGAGAATATTCCACGGAAGATCAAAAACGAGGAATATGTAAAATATAACTTGAATTCGTCAGTATATTTATATTTTTTAAATGAGACGGTATGTTTCGGTATATTTCTGGCAGTCGGACGGTATATTTTATCGATAAGTCCGCGGTCACACTGATGAGATGTAAATGGCGCGAACAACGAAAAAAAAACACACAAAAAAGCGTTTTCTAAGGAAACATTAACAGAAAAAGTTATGAAATATTCGGACGTCTCGGAAGTCCGTTATCGTGTGTGCCCTGACTGTGCTCTCTGAATTTTTTCTTTGTCATAATTTTTTTCACAAGCTACAAATATTTGCGCCAAATATTTGTGAACTCGGCGTTGGTTTAAAACAAATTCTTCAACACATTTTCGGGCAATAATGTCGACTCCGAAGCGCGTGCTGACGCCCAGCAAGGAAAACAGATCTGCCTCACCAGGCACCAGCCAAGCGCAGGTCAAGAAGTTCAAAAATGACAAGGACTTGTGCGACGATTGGGAGAACCAGTGCTGGGACGACGATATGGATTTCGATGCGAGTGCTTTAGAGGCGGCGATGGATGCGGCTGTGTCCCCGCATAAACTGGACCTGTCCATATGGCAGCGCTGCGTGATCGAGGACTTTGAAATGGACATGAAATCCTACAACGTCAGACTGTTAGTAAAAAAGAGCCCCGGCCTAGCCGAGGATCCAGAGACGGCCGAGTGCCTCGTGCATTCGCCGTGGAATATGTGTGACATGAAGAAGGGCGATATTGTTTCGCTTCTGGCCAAGTGGCAGCCCTCGCAGAACGTCTATGTGATTGACAAGGAGGACGGCTTCTGTGTGACCAATCCCGATTTTCTAGTATCCGGCACCACCGTCATGGGTTCCCTCTTTTGCCGCCGCAAGACGGTGCTGCAGGAACGTTTTCGCGGCCTCCACTGGAACAACCGTGTGGTGAGTACCCAGCAGCAAAGCCCAGACAATCCCTAACCTAACCGAGCGGGATACTCATTTGAAACTCTTCGGCAGATGATTATTGGCACACTGGTGCACGAACTGTTCCAACGTGTGGTCTCCGAGCAGCACTACACGCGCTCCCATGTGAAAACTATCCTGAATTATATGCTGCAGAGCCCCTCCCTGGCCCAATCCCTCTATGCCGGCGACCTCACCGAGGATGAGGTAATTAATGATTTGCAGCGGTTCGTCGATCCCATCGTTAGGTTCGCCAAGCAGTATGTGCTTGGGGAGACGCCTGTAATTCCGTCACCAGTGAATTTTCGCGGACGCATTGAGCGGATCGAGAACACTGAGGAGAACCTGTGGGTACCCCAGCTGGGCCTCAAGGGCAAAGTGGACGTCTCTGTGTCCGTCACCACAGCCAATGATCCCATTCCCTTGGAGCTGAAGACGGGTCGCTCCACCTTCTCCATGGAGCACACTGGCCAGCTGATCCTATACCAGATGATGCACTCAGCCCTGGGCGTTGAGACGCGCTCCGGGCTACTGCTCTACCTGCGCGAAAACATGATGCGCGAGGTGTTCGGCAAGCGCAACGAGATGCGCGATCTGATCATGATGCGCAACGATCTGGCAAAATATCTAGTCAAAGAGGTGAAGAGCTCAGTCGCCGATGAAGAGGACATCGAGGACCTCTACCTGCCCGAGCCCATCCACCACCACAGCGCATGCACGCAATGCGAGTACAGGACGCTGTGCGCCAGCTACGCCAAGCGGGATAACATACTGCATTTGGGGGACTCGCATTCAATGAAGATCCTTATGCCGACACTTCTCGAGCACCTAGCCGACGAGGATCAGGAGTTCTTCCACCACTGGTGCGGTATACTGGCCCTCGAGGATAAGCACTCACGCGCGAGCTTTAAGCAGCACTCCATCTGGACGGACGATCCCGTCTCGCGCCAACAGCAGGGACGAGCCATTGCACAGCTGAAGCTTTATCCCAGCCAACTGGCGCTCGAAACAGACGGCCGCTTTGAGCAAAACTTGGAGTTGGCACGTGAGGTCGATCCCAGCATACAATTACATCTCAGTGGGGTATGTTCTAGGATCTGGGGATCTCCCTTCACTGAAATCATCAGTGTGTAATCTATTTTTCTTCTCTTCTGCAGTTCGATGTGGGCGAGTATGTGGTCATCAGCACCGAATCGCGCATGGCCGTGGCTTCTGGGATCATCGTTTCGTTGGAGTGCCGGCGCCTGACAGTCGCCCTGGATCGCGACCTCAAACCGCAGTATGCGAAGGAGACCTTCATCATGGACAAGCACGACTCGCAGACTTTCAGCACATTCAACTACACAAACCTCGGCATGCTGCTCGCCCCCACGCTGCGCGCCAAGCAACTGCGCTCCATAATTGTAGCCCTGGACCCGCCCTTACCATTTGACAGCCTGCCCGATATCATTCTAACAGAGGGTCTTCACATTCTGCAATATCTGAACAAGCAGCAAAACGAGGCCGTCATGCATTGCCTCAGCAGCAATACCCACTTTCTGATCAAGGGTCTGCCCGGAACAGGCAAGACCCAGACGCTGGTCGCCCTGGTGCGTATGCTGCATCTGCTTAATCTCAGCGTCCTGATCACGGCCCACACTCACTCGGCGGTGGACAATCTAATGAATCGTCTGATGGCCTATGGCCTGCCCATGCTCCGTCTAGGCCAGAGCGCTCGCATTAACGACTGCCTGGAAGAGATCAGCGAGGCCAATGTTACCAGACGCTGCCGCACCGTCGATAGCCTGACACGCGTCCTGGAGACGCCGGCGATTGTGGGCGTCACTTGCCTGGGAACGGGTCACGCCGTCTTTCGAAACCGTACGTTTGACTACTGCATCGTGGACGAAGCCACCCAGGTGTTGCTGCCCACCATTCTGCGTCCCCTATGCTACAGCGAGCGCTTCGTTCTGGTCGGAGATCCAGATCAACTGCCACCGGTCGTTAAATCGCGCGAGGCCCGCAAGAGAGGAGCAGACGAGTCCCTCTTTGAACGCCTTGACTCGCCCAATTGCACGGCCGTGCTGTGCGTGCAGTACCGCATGAACAGCACAATCACCCGGCTGGCCAACAGGCTTACCTACGATGATGGCCTGAAATGCGCCAATGAGAATGTGGCCAAGGCCCATCTCCAACTGAATTACATGGGACACGCACCCGTGTGGGCTCAGCGCGTGCTGCAGACCCATCTGGACAATGCCGTTGTGGTGGTGGACACCGGCGACTGCTCCCTGCCCTGCCAGGCGGTGGGCAAGGGCTTACAGTGGCTCGGGAAGGCCGACTCCAACATCGATCTGAAATACGGAGAAAAGGATCCGGAAGTTGAACTGGCGGATGTGGGGCAGCATCCAGTGGAAGGTCGCCGCATTTCACAGTACACCAATACCTGCGAGGTGGGCGTTGTGATGAACCTTCTCCTCCAGCTGCAGCTCGCCGAATACGACCTGTCCACCGTGGGTGTCATTGCCCCCTACCGCGCCCAAGTGGAGCTGCTGCGCAGACTGGGTGGACGGCTGGACTCCAGAGTTGAGTTCAACACGGTGGATCAGTACCAGGGCCGCGACAAGAACATCATCATCTACAGCTGTACCAAGACTGGACGCGATCCCACGGAGAAGAAGCGCTGCCGAGCCGCTGAGATTCTCGAGGATAAGCGCCGCCTTACGGTGGCCATCACACGCGCCAAGCAGAAGCTGATCATCCTAGGCGACGTCACGTGCCTCAAGAATTATGGCCCCTTCAACTCCCTATTTCAGAACGTCCCGGCAAAGTGTTTCTTGCCGTTGATCGAGGGTCGTTTGGAATTTGCTTGGAAGTGTCTGCACACAGACCTGAATCGCCTCGTAGAACCATTAGTCAATTAGTTCTTAATCCTTTTTTAATATATTTCGTGTTACATTTTAAGAGTTCCAAGTGATTTTGATTAGTTAAAGGACTCATACAAGATTTACAAGTGCCAAAGTGACCGATAGATCGTTATGGATCCTTAAAGGAAGCCAATGTTCAAGAAGGAATCCTTAAAGGAAACTAATTTCAGAAGAAACTACCCCTAAAAAAAGAAGCAAATCATTAGTGAATCGCCGTCTGGCGTGCTCCCAAGAAACATATATAAAAGCCGATTCATACTTTAATAAAATCAGCGAGAAAACGTCTCTCTCGTGGCAGGACATATAAATGTTGTTTTCAATTTTTTATTCGATAAGTGCATACTGAAATGTAATCTTGAGCGTAACTTTTACTCGCGCAAGGGAAACGTTTTTGGCTTCCCAAAAGTTCTTTAGAAATATATACTCAATTATACAGAGCTCGGGAAATGTACAAATTATCTTAGCATCCCCCTAAACATTCCTAAATGTTGTCGTTGGAGCTGTGACGTTCCTGTTTCGGTCGTTGTATCCCACTGTTACATGCTTAACGGTGCTTGCACTACTCTACCCGCTCACTTTTGTTAAACCCCTTTTGAAGCCCGTGCTCCCTTCCTTCCTGGGGCACCTTGGAGTCTGTTCCGGTCTCTTGTCCGCGTGCCACACGTGCCCCGAATGCATATTAGCAGGAGATATCCAAGTGAAGTGGGAGAACTGTCGGAAGGGGCAATATGCAGCGGATGCACTTAGCAGCCACAGGCCGGCGTGAGTCATCCTCATGATTATCGACATCATAATCGTCCTACCATCCCATCACATCACATCCCATCCCACCCATGCTATCCATGTTATCCATTCCCCTGGCGCGAGGTTTGTAACCAAATGTGAGATTGATTGGTCCCCAAACCGGAGAAAACCAAACCAAAGCAAAGCGAAATGAAATTTCAAGAAAGTAGCGTCGATTTATTCGACTCTGCGATACCTCTCACTTGGTCCAAAAACTCCCACAGTCGGTGGGCAGGAAAGGACCCAGCGGTCGGCCAATATGTGCATATCTACACGGTATCTACAAGGTTATCTACATGTAATCTTCACGGCTTCTACTTGCTTTCAATGTAGAGTAGTGACAAATGGAGCAGACCGATCGCCGCATACCCGCCAGGGCCCACGAGTACAGGGTGATAATATCAAATAAAAGCTGGCCGAGGATAGGGAAAAGGGGTACGGGGTACGAGGAAGAAAGACCCAGAGACACCAATAACAGTTACAGTAACAACAGTCAACGGCCACAATGGACATAAGCAAATTGCTTGATAAAATATTTGAAATTCATTTCGCGCCGCCTCTTGGCAGCCGTTGGCATTTCGATGACAGCATTTAATGCTCATTATGTAATCTCTTTAGGTCTTTGGCTCGCACAGACACAGAGAGAGAGAGAGAGGGAGCGAGCGGTGCGGGGGTCCACCATTTAACAAAGGTCAACCACAAAACTATGAAGCCCTGTCGCACACACACACACACACACACACGAATATTGAATTGATTTCGAGTTCCGGCCAAACCCCAAATGTATTTTTTGTTGTTGTTTGAAATACCCAATAGACACAACACACACAGAGCTACCCATCTCTTTTGCACGCACTCCAACTCTCACTCTCTTTCTCCTTCGGGTTTTTTTTGGGTGCGCAACAAATTAAGCCCATTAAGACCATCTTCAAGATGGTCCCGGTGCCCCCCATCAGCCATCAGCCATCACCCAACACCCTCCACGCATCACCTGTTGCAATATTGAACACTCTCCACACAGATGATCCATTCGCAAGCAAACGCATTGGGGGCAGGCCTTATCAATAAACTGTTCGCTGAAGCTGTGCGAAAGGGGTCCGAGTATTTTCACTTTCATTCAAGCCAAAAACTCATGGCCTAAAACTAAGAATTAAAATCAACTTCATTGCAATTCCATTCCTCTCCATAAGCTATAAACTATAAACTATAATTTTCATTTGTCTTTATGCCTATAACCGTTTCGGAAGACTTTCAATTTTCTTGACAGAACTTCTATCATAAGCTCCCCCCTTCGTGTTATACAATCCCTTTCAGCTCAATTCGCTTTAATTTGCCGATCTGTGCAACGATTTCTCCGCGATTCGCCAGTCAAGCGTTGAATGGAGACCAAACGGTGGCCATTAATCGCTCAAGCCGCAAAAGTGTGGCCATAATTGATCAGTTTTGGCTGCCGCGAAACTTCATTATAGCCATCATCTCTCTGAAGAACATGCCCCCGAGGACCCTCCAAAGCAGCAACAGCAGCAGCAACAGCAGCAGCAACAGCACCACAGACTTTCCCCGCATTCAAGCTCTCTGTTAACGGTTAACAGACGCTGTTGGGGATACGCGCTTCGCTGCTGCGCACTGCTCCGGTAGCAGCTCCAACAAGTTATGGCTACGGTGCGTGGTACCCCTCTGGCAGAAGGTATTATGAACTTGGCCAGGAGTTTGGGCTGCAACGTCGAGAGGAGAGGAAAAGGATGAAAGATGTTGACAAATGAACTAAGATATCACATTAATTCCACTCTCGGACATGTACTATTTCTGGCAAGTGAAAGATGTTTGGCCTTTTACTTGTTTCAGGAACTGACTGAAATCGGAGGAATACCATATAAGGAAAACGTTAACATCACAAATTTGAACTTAAGCCCTGAATATTATTGCTGTTTACCTTGGCCACACAAATAGGGGATGGCTATATCATGTTGCGGCCACAGTGGCTGACAGCCCGCTGTTGTGTCTGGTTATAAATAGTTTTAGCTTAAAAAAATGTAGCACTCGTATTCAGGACAATCCTCCCATCATGAGTTGTAGGGTGTCCATCGCTTCGTCACTCCATAAGCAACTGTTTCTTCTGGTTACTGGATACTGGTTTCTGGTTTCTGTCTGCTAACCGTTGTCTGCAGCTGCTGGGTGGCTGTCTGCCTGGTGTTTGGTGGCTTCTGTTAAGGCCTGGCCTGTTGGTGGTGGCCTGGCTGTTGGCCACGCTTTTTGGCCACAAAACAAATTCAGTGCAACGGCGACTCTTGAACGGTATTGTTGGCCATAGCGGTAACTCGCCTCTGGCATACCGTGCATACTAAAATATACAATTTCCTTCTATGTGCGAGAGACATAACATACAACTAAAAGTTTATTCGATTTACTTTTTTTTTGGTTTATTTTTTGCGTGCTTCGTGCATCGTGCCATCGAGTGAATGTGGAAAAATGTGCAGATAGACGGATAGATTTCTATTGATATTAGTCAGATATATACATATATACTATATGAGGGGATATATGTGGATATATGTGCTGAAAAAGAGACGCCGCCGCGCCTGGCCGAAAGTGAAAAACTGAATGCGCAGACGTGTGTAACAGTTTTTACTTTCGGCCTCGTTTCTGGCTTCATCTCTTGTTAGTGGCCAATGCTGCTGCTGTAGTTGTTGTAGTTGGCTTTGGTGGTCAGTGGAGCATATAGCCATCCGAGATCTGTGCATATTGCATAAAAAACATGCACTCAGCCTCCAGCCCCAGCAGCCACTGCAGCGGCATCAGCAGCAGCAGCAGCAGCAGCATTTAGCCCACTTTTCGAGAAAATATTTTTGCAAATCTAGCGACAACAAAAATCTCACACATAAATCTTAGCGTTATTTTTTTCCGTCGCCGCCGCCGCGTTGCGTTTTACTTGGACAACAACTAGAGCAGCGACTAACTATAACAACAACAGCAACAGTCACTGAAATAATAGCAACAACCAGTGCAAAAGGAGCGCCACTGCAGCCTGCCACCTCGACCAGCAGAAAAAGCCGCCAAAATGCTTCCGGTAAGTTGTTGTTGGGCTGCCCGAAACGGAGCCAAAAAAACAAACTGGAAAATATCTGTGCAAAAACCTGAGAAAACTGAGAAATCATTTTTGTAACGCTTATATTTTGTTATTGTTGTTGGCATTGCGACGACCGTACTTTGTACGCAATTAGCGCAAATCTGGCCAAGAGTCGCAAACATTTAGTCCAGGCCAAGTAGCAGCAATTTCCTGACTCGACGGGGACCCATGCAGGAGGGTTTAACGAAAGGGATCGAAAAGGAAGTGTGAGCACGACAGGCAGACAACCTTGAAGAGGATCACAGCCGAAAGTTGTTTCCCCGATCCAGGAAGAACAGGCACCAGGCACCAGGCACCTCCTCATAGATACATCTCATCGGAGATGCCACCTTTTTATTGCCCATAAAGATCGCTGCTTGATCTTGCGAGAAACGGGTTCTAGGTCTCATCTTCATTCTTGAATAATTGAATTATTCATTCGCGACGAAGACGGAGACGGAGACCCGGACTCAAGTTGATTTCGTTTTCGTTTTGCCCGGTTTAGCTTGTGTGTCTATCCGTTGCTATTGAAATGACTCTTGGATGATTGCATAATTAATGCCAGGCCAGCACAAAGGCTGACAAAACTTCCGACTGTGGTCAGACTCAACCAGTAGAATAGGCATCCATAGAAAGTAAAAGTTACAAGTCTTTAGAGGACATGGTATCTGGGATATCTGGGATATCTGGTCAGAGGAATCGGTTCGCTATATCTTACGGTTTTTTTGTTTTCTATGGAAAAAGGTTTGATTAGTTATCACCCAAGTGCGGAAAACATAGAGGGATAAACACCTTCGGTTTCTGGTTGTTTTTGGGGCTTATGTAATGCTGAAAACTTTTACCCGATTAACACCTCGGCCGAAGACGACTGTCGATTGCAATTCCCATGCTAATCGAACGCAAAGGAGTGCAAAACTTTCAAACACGATTCGAGAAATCGAATCGGAAAGGCAGACGTTCATTGGCAGATACTCGTACATTGCATGCATACTAAAGATAATGCTGCAGATACAAGATATAATGCTCTCTCGTGGATCCTAAACCAAGAGGCATGCAATGCATAAGCAGATCAATCAAAGATACTTTTGATACTTTTACTCCCCGACAAATAGGGGCCCCGAGGAGACAAATGAAATCGACATCGACATCGAATGAAATTTAATTTCGTTCCATTTTGGGCATTTGTTTTACATCCGCCTGGGTATTGGGTATTTGGGTATTACGAGTATGGGAGTATAGGAGTATGTATACTCTCAAATATACATATGTATATGCATGCCCCGAATCGGGGCAGAGCTACTTCGGAGGCTAAGGCTGATATTTGATGCCTGTGGCCTGGAGCTTGGGGCCTGGGGTCTCATGCAAATTTCGCTGTGGCTGTGGGGCTGCGCATGCGCAGAAAACTTGTTTAGGAACTGTTTTGTATTTTTGACAGTTTTCGGCTTGAACTTATTTTTGGCTTTTCGGCTTTTGACGGGCGCGCGGGGGCGAAACACGTTTGGCAACAAGTGCTGCGCCGCTACGGTACTGCAAACTAGCCAACGGACTCCTCATCATCGTCATCGTGATCATCATTGTTGTGATGATCAGAGTGATCATCTTCGGGTGCCCATCATCATTCCGAGCGAGTGCTTGACGTCAGGCCACAAAAATGCGTGTGAAGAGGAAATCTGCTTGCGGCTTTTGTCTCTCTCCGCCAAGCGGAAATCGGAGCCCAGCCCGAAAATAAGGCAGACAAAATTTGCACATTCATGCAAGCAAGCCACCATCCCAGGGCACAGGGGAGGCGGTGGAGTGCAACACTCCAGCAGTGCAGCAGTGCAACGCCAACGCTTTGTCGACTCTCCGCACCCAAAGACAAAGACAATGACAATGAACTGAACCCATCCCATGCCATGCCATGCCATGCCATGCCATATCCATGCAATGCGATGCCATCCAATCATCCATCCATCTATCCATCTGCAGCTGCCGTGCCTCTTTCCGATAATTCAGAACAAGTTGCCTCTCAAATACCCTTACGATGGGGTGTAAAGTGATTATTTCCTTTTCTTGAAGATCTGTATCTTCGAACGGAAATTCTTAAATGGTATCCTCCCTCTATGACTAAAGCTGAAGGCTCAGCGAAGGTTACCGCTCTCACTTTCTCCTCCGCATGGGACCCATATCCCATATCCGAGTGTATGGGCGACTATAGAAAGGTTTTCAGATTGGCAAATCGGAATTCGCATTCGCGATTCGCATTCAACGGCGGAAAGTGAAACCAGTCGACACTCCACAAAAGAGGGACAGCAGCAGGCAGCAGGGAGCAGGGAGCAGGGAGGGAAAAGTGAATGGCAGGCTGGAATGGGGGAATTGATGCGTTTGGTATCTGTTTTTTTTTTTTTGTTATTTAAAAGATTATAGAAGAGTCTGCTGGCGGGGATCACATTAAGTTACCGGTTTCTTGTGCTATTAAACCGCATTTGCCTGAAATTCCAGCATTCCCAGTCGCATCCACTGCAATCGCTTTTGGTAATTGTATCTGACAGATACACAGATACACCGGGCCACAAATACACACGTGCGGTGCCTTCAACCTCATTGCAAAATTTGCTACATTTTTTTTGTATTTTGTCTTCCTCTGCTGCTGCTGCCTGCTGCTGCTTTTGTTACGTTACGTACGAGCACACATCAGAGGAGGGAGCGCAGAGGGTACCCAGCTGTAGAGGTAGAGGCTGCATGGCATGGCTCACTAAGAGACAGAGACCGAGACCATGCTCCAGAGACCGCCGGGATGATTCAATTCCATGACAACGACAACGACAACGGCCAGGGGGGCTTCAGCTTTGATTTTGATTTGGGGACATGCAAATCATTAACACTCCTACGACAGATGGGGATGGATGGATTCATTCTCAATGGAAGGCGAGACTTCGCTTTGATATTCGAGTCCAGTTTGACAGACTGTGATTTAAGCTTTAACTGCTGGTATTTCCCCAGAGAAAGCCTTGGCTCTGGTCAGTTTGGGTTCTGTACAGAAATGCTTAGCTAAGGATTCCGAGACAAGATAGAAAGCTTCATTGCCAAGCTTTCACATGGACAGAATTCGTACACACACACACCACCAAAACGTTCTCTTGCTTAGCTATTCCTGAAGCGAAAGCTCACCCATACGTGCACGGGCATCAACTTTCAGTTTGGATTTTGAATTGGATTATGAGTACGACTACGAGTACTCGTACTTTCGCCCCCGAAAATACTCGTATCAGATTCCCACCCTTGAAACCAGCCTCTGGACATTGTCACTCCACACGTAACTGTAAATCCGCCATGGAGATATGTATGAATAAAACAACATATATATGTGTATACTGATATATGTATATATATATTCATGTATCGGTTATGCGGCCGTGAAGGTCAACTTGTTTTGCAGGTCTCTCCGTGTTTGAGTGAAAAAAAGCAAAAGTTATAAATTAATTTATTAAGCCAGATCGGACGGAGCCCAGAGACAAGCCGCACAGCACACAGCACCACAGCACCACAGCACAGTCAGTCACAGTCTCAAAGTCAGGCCAACCAAGTTCCACTCTCGATGTTTAAACTCGTTTGGGGAACAACAAAAGCACTTGCTGAAAATTCCAGAGTCTTGACCAGCAGACTAACTGACTGACCCCCAATTGGTATTTAAAAGAATGTGACTGCACAAAGACCACAACGAAGCAACGTAACGAACAAGAAATAAATCAGTATGATGTATGCCGACTGGTGACTGCTGAATGCTGAATGCTGCATTGGGGGTGAATGGGGGACAATTCACAAGTCACCTTAATTGCCACAAGGATGACGGTACCTCACACTCGAAAAGTAGACCACAGGCAGGGGAGAGCTTCTGGGAAATACTCATACATTTGATTCCTTCTTTTCCAAATCTATTTTAGTGTTTTACCTTATTTGCATATCACATATAAGACATAGTTGCTGTGCAAAACACAGTCGAAGATATTTCCATTTTGATGATACAAAAAAACCCCAAATCATGCTTCGATCTAATTAAGTTTTGGGCCAACTCGAGAGCCTTATCCAATCTAATCGGCCTAAACAATGGGCATTATCTTTATGGCCATAACCCATAACCACTCTCGACCCCTGGCTGGAGCCACAGTTCAGCTTCAGCTGCTGCTTCATGGCCGCCGCATCCACAGCATCAAAATTAGCCATCGTCCATTTCCATCTCCATCTCCATCTCCATTGCCCATCTCCCTGTTCCATCTTCGACTCAACTTGAACCTGAATGTGCATCACGATTAATTTTTCTTTCTGGCGTGTTTTATTTTTTCTCTGTATCTTTTGTTTGTGCTTTGGGCTGGATTGTTGCCGGATGCGCAAGCAGCACAGCTTAATAATTTCCACCGAAAACTGAAAACCGAACAAAATTGAAAGTGAGCAAAACCACACAGCGCCAGCCAACGGACAACAAAAATGTACGAGTATCTATAAATAAATTGTATACTAAAGTTGTGCTTAAAAGGGCATAAAAGTTACATAAGAAATGCTCTGTCTGTGAGATGGAGAGCGGCTTCTTCCGTTGGTTGGTTGTGTGGTTGATGGTTGGTGGATGGTGGTTGGTGGATGGGGCATTTCTTTTATTGGTGCTTTATTGTGCGCATATGACATAAGTGGCTGCCAATGAGCGAGCAACTATCTAATTTTTGGCAAGAAAGAAACGGAGGGGTAGCCATACGTTTAACACCAACCGTTAGCCGCTGCAGCCAGTGCCTTTGCAGCGTTTACTTTGCCAATTATCGCCTGGGACGTACGGCACGGGTGCCGGTGCCGGTGCCGGTGACGGTGACGGGGCAGGTGCCGCCGTTAATGTTAATTGCAGTGTAAGCGCGTTGCGACTCTTTGGTGGATGCGTCGCCGCCACCGCCACCGTCACCGTCAGCACCCTAAGGGTGCCCTGGTGGGCCGTGGAA